AGCATTCCCTTTGTGTTCCAGCACATCCTGTGCCTTCACACTTCCACCACATAGCCCCAAGACACTTTGTTACTGTGTCCTCCCAGGGGAGATAACTATTATCATTCCAATAGGTCCCAGTCACCTGAGACACTCCCCGAGAGAGCTTTACAGATATCATTCCATCCGGCCTCAGTTTTCCGAGACACTCTCTCGACTAATGGGTCAGAGGCTAATGTAGAGGGGTGGTACCGGAATCGGCTATAATGCAACAGATGGGAAATGTGAAGCCAGGCTCCCCCTACCCTCCTGCCATGCCCAACCCACCCAGCCAGTACCCTCACCTTGACCCTGTCGGCACTACTATTGAAGAGGCCAATTCGGCGGATGGTGGTCAGGATGGGGTCCGAGGAGTCATCCAGCATATTGTGGGTGCACACAGGGGGAAAAGACTGCCGCTGTAAGGGCCACAAGTGGGATGGGTGTCAGATAAACAACATGCCTACCTTGAGGATCCAAGGAGACTACAATTCCCACCAAGCTGTGGGACAACAAGCCCAAGAGATTACCAGGAGTTGTAGCTTTCCTACTTGGGTCTATCTGTAAAGGTTCTCTTTTCCCTTTCACCACCATTAGCTAAAAAGAAACTATAATTCCCAGCTTCCTTTGAGGCAGAGCCAGTGTTAACATGCCCCACAGGCTACATGGACTTGTAATTGTCTTGTTCTGTACTCTTGGCTTTGTCTTCAAAGAAATCCAAAGGAACTATAACTCCTCCCAGTCGATGGGGGCAGAGACTGTGCCAATATGGTAGCAAACTCCAGGGGCTGCTGGAAGTTGTACTTTCCTTATGAAAATCCTGGATTTCTTTCTCTCCAAGTTCCCTCTTTACTCTCCATCCTGTGATTTCCTCCACCTGCACCCCCAACAGAGGCCCAAAGAAACCACAGTTCCCAAGAGGGGAATTCCCACTGAATTTTTTCCTGCATTTCCCACTGGAGGAGGACAGAGCTAAGTGTGATGGAAGTCCCAGGAGACTGCTGGGATGTATAGTTCTTTGCAACTGTTCCATCATTTCTCTCATTTAAAGTTATACTCACTTTCAGGCTACTTATTTCAGGGGCCCAGGAAACTACAACTCCAAGCAGCCCCAAGGCTGAAACATGCCCAAGTGAGGCCAGAAGCACTTCACACCTTGTTTGTGCAATTTGGCTGTCTAGGTTTTCATTCCCTAGGAAGTGGCTCACCAATCCTGACCACAAGTATCAAAGACCAAATTAAAAAAGAACTATTAACTCCCAGAAGTCTCTGGGGCAAGAGAAGAGGCAATGTAGCAGAAAGACCCAGGGGCTGTTGAGAACTGTAGTTCTCATTTGGTGACTGACAGTTTTTTTCTAAGGTTTCCCATCCATCTAATTCCTTTAATTTCAGGAATCTAAAGAAGCTACAGCTCCCAGGGGTGTTCAGGGACTAAGACACAACCAGTGGGATAAGAAACAGTGGTTGCTGAGTTTTCATTATTCTTCAGGGAGTGTTTTAGCTGACCTCCTGACTATCCCTAAAGAGGCCCAACAAAATTACCACTCCCAGCACTCTCTGGGGACAGAGGTGGAGTTAGTGTGCAGCAAGGCCCAAGGACAACTGGGAGCTGTAGTTCTCCTTTTGTGGCTGTCTTGATTTTCTAAAGTTCACCTTTTGTCCATTGACCCTGGAGACTCAAAGAAACCATAATTCCCAGCAGCCCCTGTGGCATAGTAAGCCATGGGAAAGCATGCTGTCCTAAGGGCTTCTAGGAATTGAAGTTCTACCAATGAAGTTCTATACCCTTCGGTGGACCTCAGAATTGATCCCCTTAGTAAGGGCTGCCCAACAAAGTAGAACTCCCAGCAATCTCTGGGGTCAGAACTAACATGGCAAGCTGCCTCTGAGGCTGTTGGGAATTGCCATCTCTTCACTCAGGGATACAAACTATACCTGTGTGGCAAAGATGGCTCTCTTCATCATAGTAAAGTCCTCCTTGTCCAGCATCTTGTTCATGTCTGGGAGGCTCCCCCTGCAGGGCAAGCAAGGGTATGCATCTGAGAAGGGGTGAAGAGAAGGGTTAGGGACCAAGCAGGTGCAAGGCTGAGGGTGGGGCACTCACACCAGCAATGATTCGTAAAGCTTCCTCCCGAACTTCTCCTTCACTGTGTTGGCCGTATCCCTGGAAAGAGCAGAACATCATCACATATACTCCAGCCATTTATTGTTAGGCTACTGGGGCAGCTAGGAAACTGAGGTCTGAGCAGAGAAGCCCTGGGGACACCGGCTGGAGGATGAGATCCAAGGGAACAGGCCCTGAAAGGCTTAGATCCCTCGTGCCTTGCATCGGCTGTGTGGCCAGGGATAGGTGGTCTTCTTTCTGACTTCAGTGACTCATCAGTCAGACAGAGATAAAAATAGAAACAACCTCAGAGGTTTGCAGTAAGAACTCAATGAGGTCATGACAAAAAGTGCACAGTGCCCAGCACACAGTGAGCCTTCCAGAAATGTCAGCTATTATTAGGACCTGTACTAGTCCTGGCTGTAGCAAAGCTAAGTCCCATTTTATAAAAAGGGAAAATTATGTTGAGAGAAGAAAATTTATGTACACAAATAAAGCTAGCAAATACAGCACCATTGACCTTCCTCTGCTCACAGTCCTTCCATAACTCTGGCCTGATTTCCTACCCCATCTGCTTAGGACACGCTGATTTAGTCCCACTGGCCTCCTTGCTGTTTCTCAAACATGCCTCAAGGCCTTTATACTTGCTGTTCCCCAAATACACACAGGGCTCCCTCCCTTATTTCCTCTATTTGTCGCCACCCAATGGCACTTTCTCAGTATGGCCTATCCAGAGAACCCTATCTTATATTCCTGTGCTTTTTATTTTTTTTGGCCAGAGCACTTTCTAGAGAATTTTTTTAGAATGTAGGCACAATGAGGGCAGAGATTTTATCTTTTTTGTTCTCCCAGGGCCTGGAACAGTGCCTGGCATACAGTAGGTGCTCAATGAACACCTGATGGCTAATGAATGGGTTTTACAAATGAGGAAACTGAGGCTCCGAGAGGGGGAGTGGTCACAAAGCCACCAAGGGTCAGTGGCACAAGTTGGACTTTGCTGGTTTGATATCAGAGCCCTGGTTAGGCTGTCGCACTTATCATGCCTGTGACTTCTTATTGCCCCCAAGCTGGAGGCATTAAGCAAATGACTTCACTAGGAATCAGTGGGACAGGACGTTCATGTTATGTTACAGATGACAAAACTGAGACTCCAGGAGAAACAGTGGACCCAAAGCACACAGCTGGGATCCTGAGCCGAGGGCTGCTGACCAAAGCTGCTTGCGCACGGCTTGGCCCTTGAGGGTTTCCACATTGAAATTGTTGGTCCGAGCCGGCATGATGAAGAAGGCGACTACTGTCTGCTCACTGCCGTTGACCTGGGGCAGAGGAAAGGGTTCACGTGGGAAGAGGCTGAGGCTACCCACCCTATTCTACCCCCAAGACCACTAGGATCCTGCCATGCCCCTTCATATCAAGGAGAATTATAGGACAGAGTTACCATCCCTACATCTTCTTTCTGGGTCTCTACACACTCCCCCTCACACAGGGGGTTTCCTACCCCAACCTCCCTGGGTCTCTGTTCTCGCCAGTTATGTACTGATTGTCTCGTCCTCTCTTTGTCCCCTGGCAGCCCAGGCCTTACTCTGAGCAGATAGTTGAGCCGGGCCAAGGCCTCCAGGAAGACGTCGGCCCCTTTGTTGGAGAACTCGTAGCGGCCAGCGATAAAGAAGTACAAGGTCTTGTCCAAGTTGAAGTCCAGGTGCCTAAAGAAGCCATAAGTTAGCGTGAAGCCCTGGCTCTGGCCTTGAGACTACAAACCCCAGAAGCTACAGGGGCAAAGAACATCATAGACAGTACAGAGGCATCACGGAGACTCCTGGGACTTGGGGTTTTTTTTTCTCCTTAGTTGGGGATCTCCTTCAATACTCAGCTCTTGTTCTGGCATTCAGGAATTCAAGAGGCTGAGCTCCCAAGCCCTTCTCCCTTAAGACCTAGAGATCTGGCCCACATACCCATAAAAATGGCCCCGCACAAACTCCTGGATTCGGGCCTTGCTCTGAGCATGGAGGTTCTGGAACTCATGCATGGCAGAGAACTTCTTCACATTCAGTCCATTGGGAGTCACGATATCTGGGAATGAGGGAGAAGGCCTCATGATTCATTTCTTCATTCAGATCAATGTGGTTGAATGAATACATGAAGGAAAGACCCTTTGCCTTTCACAATTTCTTTTAGTAGCTCCTCTGTGAGTTCCCTTGGTGACCCAGCTGCCCTGCCACTCAGATGCCTTCTTGCACGATATTACTTGCTTATGTTCACAAGCATAACTACAGCTACCATCAGCCCCTGCAAATGACTAACCAGACAGAGAACTAATCTACATTGGGGCTTCTGGGAGTTGTAGTTCTTTTGTTTGACCAATTCCACCCAGAACTGAGAATGATTAAACATCCCCCTCCTGCTTCTCCCAGAATATACCCTCTATCTTCAAACTTCCTTTAAGGTCACAACCACTTTTCTGTCCTCACAGAAATTAAAGCATATCAATGAAAAATTATAACCCCCATCAGCTCCTGGGGCAAAATTCCAGAAATATAGGGCTGACCCACCAAAGGCCTTCTGGAAGTTGTAGTTGTCACTTTATATCTATTGAGAATTGATGCTATAATTTGGGAAGAATAAGTGGTTCTATCACTGCTTTTCTCAAAACCAAAATCCAATGAACCTTCATCCCCTTTCAGAAGACCAATATCTACATCAGCCAATAAAAGAATTTTACCATTTCTGAAATTAAAAACCAAGAAACTACCATTAGCCTCTAGGGTGCACAGCCAGGCAGCCTCATAGTTAGGCCCCCAACCTAGGGCCTTCTGGGATTTGTAGGTCTCTGCTCTTTACAGTAAAAAAAACTGGTATGGGCCTTGGCATAGATAGTCAACTGCCTCATTCATGTCTAGGAGTCCCAGCCTATTACCCACCTGGTTTCCTCTTGAGTAGGTACTGAGCCTCGATGGCAGTAATCTGGGACACAGTAGTGAAGACGTGAGCGCAGTGGGCTGCTGCCCGCTCCATGCAGTAGCGGTGATAGATTTGCCTCTCACCAGCTTCCTTGTCCACATTGAACTGGGCAGGAAGAAAGGGCAGTCAGGTTAGGCGAATTAGATAGAAGACTAGAGGTCCAGACTCTGGGATCCTGGTGGACGTTGGGGCTGGAAGCTGGGCTCCCAGATCTGAGGGAGGAGGGGCTAGGGACTTGGACTCCTAGGTCCTAGGAAAGGAGGGAGATTGATTCCTGGGGCTTTGCAGACAGCTTTGGGCTGTTTTGAAACACCAGCAGCCCCCATCTGCCACACTCCTAGCTCACATTCTCCAGGTTGTTGTAGAAATCCACAGCACCGGCACACAGGTATCGCCCCAGCAGCGTGGCATGGGTGGTGAAGATCGTAGCCACAGGGAGCCGCCGGGCACGGCACAGGCAGAGCCCGACGCCCGCCAACCATTCGTGGAAGTGTGCAACCACATGTGGCTTCTCCTCGCTCTGGGCCAGGAACTGTGAGGCAACAGGGATAGGGCGACTGTGTCTCCACGTGTGTTGTGAAGACAACCAGTAAGCCCCAACGTGGACCAGGAAGCAGGGGAGAGGTAAACCTATCACCACTACTGCACAGGGTGGATGGTGCCTCACTGTAATCCCCACAGGACAAGGAACTGTAAATCCTTGAGACAGCTGGACCAGCTGACCTTATCCTTAGATGCTGATGGAAACTAGTCTTATTTTTGGCCAAACTTCTAAGTCCCAGTAAGGCTGAATTGGAAAGACTGAAGTTTAATGTCCCCAAGTCCTGGGGACTCTTTATCTCAACTTCAAGTAGACCTGCACCCGATATTGGCTAAAGGATTATAGCTCCCAGAATGCCCTAGAAACAGCCAATTCATAAACTGTTTGTCCCAGGGCATGGGAAACGAAGTTTCTTTAGCCTTTTAAAACCTAAAAGGTGGTCAGAACCAGGTTTCCTGGTTCTCAGATAGGCTGGGGTTTCCCAAACATCTAGGGCCCCCATCTGAGAGCCAAGTCCAACCACCATCAGACAAGTACTACAACTCCCAGAATTCCCTGAAGTGAGCCCTCCAGCCAGGCCAACCTCCCCAAAAGCTAATGGCTCTGAATTCCTATACTTAGAAAATAAGACTGAATAAAGCTGGGGTTGGGAGTTAGGATTCCTATATTTGGAAGACTGGAGAGAATGAAACTGGAGTTGGGAGTTTGGGTCTCTGAGGAAAGAAGAGTCTAGGTCCTTGGATATCCATATCCCTGAAGGTCCTTGGATTAAAGGATCTACAACTCCCAGAATGCTCTGGGAGAAACCAGCCCCCCTGTGACCACCATCCAGCCCCTCTGGCCAGGGCCATTGTAGTTTTGGGCCTAGGGTCGAAAAGAGTGACATGGGGCACCAGCAGCGGGGCCTACCTCACCCAGGAACCAGGTGGTAAGGAAGCCAAAAAGGACGGCATCGTTGGCCTCACGGTCGTACCAGGGCACCCCAATGCTGCAGGTGTCCCAGAGTTCCCCCTTCCAGCGCTCCAGGGCCCAGGCTGAGGCCCCCACGTCCAGGAGTACCACGAGGGGGCCCCCCTCAATCAGCCAGCGCCCGAAATACACCTGGGGAGACCCACAGGGAGGCTTAGAGATTTGACCACAGTCTCTGGGCACAGCATCTATGCTGCTCCCACCCACAGGCTTACTGTGTGGGCTTACTACCTGAGTTCTTCCACCCGTTTCTGTATCTGCTGCTGACTTCTCACCCATTGCCTTATTTCTCTATGTGCTATTTGTTATTCTCACCACAATCTTTTTCAGTCTCTGTTGCAACATTTTTCCTGTCCCTTGCTTAGTTTCTATAACGGCTGCCCTCTCCCACCCATTGTCTCCTTTCTCTACTTATAACCACACATTTCGCTTATCCTGCCGGTGTCCCCACTGCCTTGTTTTTCCACCCTGCTAACCATTTCTCTGACCTGCTGCCTTGTCTCTCTGTTTGCTGCCACATTTCTCTCCCAAACCATCATGATAGCCTTTGCCATGATCTTTTCTTTCTGCTGCTAATTCCTTCCACTAGGTGCTTCTTTTACTGTGCTTGCTGCCACATTTCTTCCACCCGCTGCCTTGTTTCTGACCCATTCACCATAAATTTGTTATCTACTGCCTCTGTCCTCTGCCCTTAGGCCCATTTTGTACTCTGTAGGTACATTTCTACCACCATCTTCCCTCTGTCCCCACCCCAGGGCTACATTTATCTACCGACTGTCATGTTTCTAAGCCTCGCTGTCTCATGGCTACCCTTTCTACATTTCTCTGGTCTGCTTTTCCTCCTGAGACCATGGCCTAGGTTCTGGGCCTACTGCCACAGCACTATCTAGCTGACAAGCCATCATCCTCCTCCCCAACCTGTCTTTTCTCAGCCTTGGGAGCCTGACCCCGATGCCCCTCCCCCTCCCAGCTGTTGTCTGCCCTTTTGCTGGGGGCACTATTCTTAGGCCCCCAGCAGTGGGGAACAGCTGCCATGGGGGAGGGCTGGGCTGCTCTAGGGTTCCTTGGGGACATGTCTGGCCTGACTGGGCTCCAGACCCCACCCCAAACCAGAAGCTGTGAATGAACGAAGGAACCACTGTACCTCTCCCTCCCAAGCCCCAACCTATCTGTACTTCAGCCCTGCTGCCTCGTGGTCCTCTCCTTGGGCAGCAGCCATCTCTCTGTGCTCATCCTTCAGCCCTTATACGGAACTCTCCCCTCCTATCTTTAATCCTTGGCTCTGCTCATCCGAAACTCTGTTCCCTAGGGTTGCCTGCCAACCTCTCCTCCCTTCATCAGTATTCCGTCTTCTTCTCTCCTTCTAGGTCTTTCTCTCTGAAACATCGGGCTGCCTCTCTTCTGTATCTAGACTAGCCTCTGTCTCTCTCCACATTGCTCTAGTCCCTGGGGGTGGGGGAAGCCACTGTCACCTTTTGGGACACTCAGTCTGTCTCCATCCACCTCTCGTCCTTTGTCTGCCTGTCCACCTTGCCCTGAAAGTCTCGTTGTTTACAGTAATGATGATGATGATAATAATAACCACAACGATAATAGCTCACCCACAGTGATAACTTCATGCCAAGAACTGGGCTGAAGACTTATTAACTATTTCATCCTCCCAACAACCTATAAGGCAGATGCCATTAGCTAAGGTCACACTGGCAGGAAGTACAGAAGCTGAATCTGAACGTCAGGCTCTAAAACCCCTACTCTGACTGCCTGCCTCATGCTAAGCCTACCTCCTCTGCGTTCTGGCTGTCTGTCTGTCTTTCCATCTAGCTTTTTCTCTCTCTCTGTGTCTGAGGATCTTGGCCTCTTGGAACCACGTCTCAGTCTGTCTTGTCCCTGTTGTTTTTCTGTCCATTTGCTAATGTCGCATAGGTTGGGGTTTACCTGCCCACTTCATGGGATCCTGCATCTGTCTGAGTGTCAATCTTAACCACTCTATGTCTGCCTGGGAAAGTAACAGGCCATCCTGTGTTTCTGTCCATGCCTCCCTCTCTCCTTGGGGCTGTCCCCGGAATCATCCTCCCACACCTGACCCCTTTTCCATCTGCTGCTCTCACCCTGACTGCAGGCACCCACCTACCTGCCCTTGGCTGAGCCATGTCCCACCTTGCAGCCCTTGCTGTTCATGGAGTCCAGCGTCCTCTTCAGAGATGGAGTTGGGGGCTCGAGCAGTTCCACCTGTGTCCTCACGCCCTGCTCCGTGTACGGTCCCACCAGGTAGTAGTTGTCGCCCCACTCATCCCCCGTCACCTTCGCCTTCGTCTGCAGCACCGTGTAGATGCCGCCCACTGTGGGCCCAAGTGCATGAGGACAGACCCCAGCCAAGGTCCACAGGTTTGGACCCTAGGGCAGGGTTGGGGGCCATGGGTGGTGCTGAGGCCCTGGACCTCTGGCTTAGAGAGAAGAGGGGACTGGGAGCCCACACATCAAAAAGAGCGGGTGCCTAGGGGGCTAGAGGGCAGTACTCCTTGGCCTAAGAGAGAATAGGGCTAGGTTTGGGACTTTTGAGGGAGGAATGGGCTCAGGCTAGACTGCTGAGCCTAAGAGAAGGGGCTGAGGGCCTGAGCTTCTGGATCTGAGGGAATTAGGGGTTGGGGTCCCAAGGATGACAGAGCTGACAAGGATTACCAGAACCCAGTTTCCTGAGTTCCCAGTTTACAGGAGCTATGTTTAAATTTTCATTTAGGCTCTAGGACATGGTAGGTCCTATTCAGTTTCCACAGTTGCCCAAGAGAGGCAGGAAATGTCATTCCTAGTCCCCCAGGAACTCTGCTGACTTGTCCCCCAGTCTCCTCTCCCCAACTGGGAACATAGGCAGGCGGGGCCCCCATGCCCCTCCCAGGACTCCACTCCATATCCAGGAGTCTAGGCCCCCAGCTTCCTTACCTCCTGGAGTTTGGGCCCAGGTGATACATGGCTCTGGGTTTGCAGGACCCTCCCATGGTGTAAGACCCAGTCTCTGTCTCTCCCAAGACTCAGCTAAGCAAAACCCCAGCTCCCTCTCTTCTGAGGAGACAGACTGCCTAGCACCTGGGCTTCCAGACCCACCTGGTTCTCAACACCCAGAACCTCAGGGCCTCTGGAGCCCGGGACACAAAAATCCAGGGCTCTAGCCACTCCCATCCCAGGGCCCGGCCCCTGACTAACAGGACTTCCCAGCCTTCCCTTATTCCAATATCCACAGGTTCTTCTACTTCTAGGAATCCATAGCTCAGGCCCTCAGCTCTTTTGGAGCCTAGGCATTCAGGCCCCAAACTCTCTCCCACCCTCGGATCTAAGAATTAGGGTTTCCAGCGCCCTCCCATCTTTACTCTCAAGTTACCAGTTCTCCCATTCTCCCATCACCACTTATGCACCCTATCTCCCGGTCAGCTCTCCCAAATCAGGAGGGTCACACTTCTGAAACCTAGCCATTTCCAAGGATTGCTCTAAGAAGTGCCAGCCCCTATCTCCTTCCCTGTTCAGGACCCAGGTCTTTGTCTCTCGGAAACTTCCTTCGGAACCTAGGAATTATATTACCCGCCCCCTCACCCCCCCCCCCCCCAGGACACGAGACCAGGGCTTCCAGCCTCTTTTGATTTTAAGTCAGGGGACTCATCCCTACCCCTCCAGGGCCCAGGAGACATATCCCAGCCCCTCCCCAAAGACATAGAAGTCATAGGCTCCTAGCCAGGAACCCACCAGCCACGTTATATAGCCCAGTCCCCCTATAACTCAAAGAGTCCCCGGACCCGTCCCCGGCTGCCCTTCTCTTCTGGGCCCGGCCGCCTGGCGTGCTCACCCTTGTTGGCCACTTCCCAGGCCACCTCGAAGAGCACTGTGTTCTCCAGGTCGAAATCATCTTCCCACTCCTCCAGTCCTGGCAGTGAGGACATGGACAAAGTGCGGCTAAGAGGCATGGCCGATGAGGGAGGGGGGCTCCAGGGGCCACAGGTAGGGGCTCCGGAGGAGTCTGAGGAATGCACCAAACAGGGAGTGGGGTCAGGTAGCTGTTGCCCGGAGGGAAGCTTGCAATGCCCTCGGCTTCCTATTGCACGACCGCACCCCTGCCCTGGGGTGCTCGGACCTAGGCAGGAGGCGGCCGCAGCGTCACTGAGCCCTGTAAGGCCCCTGCAGTGAAATCTTGCGGCGGCCACACCCCCTGGCCATCGCCATTGGTCCGCGCTCGGGGGCGGGGCTCTCACGTCTCTTCATTGGCAGATAGCGTATTTGCCCCGCCACAGGCGTAGCGGTCGCTGCGCTAGCTGATTGGCCTTGAGCTCTGTCAATCCGAAGCTTAGTGGGGGTGAGGGAAGTGGGTGGGATAAGGAGGAAAGAGAGCGTGGGGGACGTGTGCTTGCTCAAAGAAGAGTTAAGAATTTTGCAATCGGCCTCGGCAAGGAGGTTTGGGTAAAAGGAGGAGGAGCCAAGAGGCGCTGGGAACTGACCCAGCAGTTTCCGCCTATAAAGTGATGCCTGGCCCCTACAAGGAGAGTTTGCATATTTATGAGGAACCACCGAGATTGTTGGAGGACCTGGCAGTCTAGAAGGGCCAGAACCCCTCGCTCCCAGTGCCTTTCCGTTTCCGTTAGGATATTGGCTGTTGGCGAGCATCATGGCAACAGTGGTAAGAGTCGGCGTGCGGAGCACTGAGCAGTGCACCCGCTCTCCCTAGTTTAAGGAAAGAGGAGGCTGGGGGCCAGGAATCTTGGATCTGAGGGAGGAGGGAATTAGGGGCCCAACCTCTGGGTCTGAGGTGTAAGGTGGCTGCACCTAGACTTATGGGTCTGAGGGAGGAGGGGGCTGGGCCTGGACTCTTGGGTCTGAGGGAGGAGGGCTGGGCCTGGACCTGGACTCCTGGGTCTGAGGGAGGAGAAAAGAAAGGGCTGGGATCCCGGAATCTTGGGTTCAAGTGGGTATTTACGGTCTAAATGGTGAGATCTGACCCCATCATGTTATAGCAACTCCCAACTTGCAGTCCTCTGGACGCAATCAGTGTTTAGTTTTGCAGTTCTTTGCCTTAAAGTCTGTTGAGGGTTGTAGTGTCTTGGGCTCCAAGCCATCCAGGAGTCTTGGGTTACTGATGGTGTGAGTGGTACGTGACTACAAGGGAGAAGCGCAGGCAGGACCTGTGTGCTTGAGAGCATGGAGTCGCTTAGTGAGCCTTGAGCCAAAAAAGAGAGGGTTGAAAACCCAGAGGGTGTCAGTGGGGCATGCCTGGTGTGGATGTTCAATAAACTATCACTTGAGTCTTTGAATGAATGAATGTGAACTCCATAAAGAGAGACCAGGTACACTGGACCTGACTCCAAGTACTTGTTCAAGAAACATCTGAATAGAGAAGGGGTGTGGCCTTGGCTTAGGGGTTGGACTGGGCTTCTAGATGCCTAGGTTCCCATGGTGACCCCAGCCAAGATGGGGGGAGGGTGGGGTGAGAGCCACTGGTGCCTAGGGGATAAAATTTGAGTCTGTTGCTGTTCCCATGGCAAGTGGGTGAATAAATAAGCAAAAGAGGAAAGGGCAATGGCCATACTCCTAAAACCCAGTTCCCATTGGTGTGGATGAAGTGTTGGAGGTATGAGGTGGTGGTGGGTGCTGAGTTTTAAAAGGACCCCTGTTTCCATGGGGTTAGTGGGCAGCAGGGGGTCGGAGAGGCTTATGGTGAAAAGAAAGGCCTTGTAGGAGGTGAGTCTGTCTGTGTTGGGATTGCCTCAAGTAGGGTCTTTTAGGCTATGTAGGAGTATGTGGGGGTATGTTCTGAGTCTTCTGATAGTCGCTTGGGGGCAATGGCCAATGCTCCTGGGTTCCAACCTCCTATGAGGAGAGAGTAAGTGGGAGGGCCTACAAACAGTGAGGGAGGAGACTTGTGACCATGTGGAAGTCAGGAAGTCTGAACTCTTGGTTCCAGAGAGAGGAGTGTTTCCTTGGGTTGGGTAGTTGGGAACAGGTGGCCAAGGAGCTGGGTCAGTATGCTGGCTTCTTAGGCTTCCCTTTCCTTATTAGAAATTATGACATATTCCAAAGTATCAGAAAATAATATAGCAGACAGTCAAGTACCCACCACCAGATTTTTTTGAACAGATTTATTGACATAATTTACATCCCATACAATTTACCTGTTTAAAATGTACAGTTCAATGTACATTTTTAGTACATTAGTACGTACATTTAGTACATTCACAGAGTTGTGTATTCTTTCAATTTTAGAACATTTTTATCATCCCAAAAAGAAACCTTATTCCTCTTAGCTATCACCCTTTAATCCTCCCATACCTCCAGCCCTAGGAATCCACTAATTTGTTTTCTGTCTATGGATTTGTCTGTTCTGGACATTTCATATGAATGGAATCATACAACATGTGGCCTTTGTGTCTGCCTTTTTTCAGCATAATGTTTTCAAGGTTCTTTCATGTTGTAGCATGGATCAGAACTTTGTTCCTTTTTATGGCTAATATTCCATTGTATGGCTATACGACATTTGTTTACCCAATTATCTGTTGATGTTTATTTGAGCTGTTTCCACCTTTTGGCTATGAATAATGCCATTATTCACTGGATCTCCAGTGGATTCTCTTATTATCCAAGGTGGTGTTTACTCATCTCTCTCCCCACCATTAGAAGGGATGGTGGCTAGCTTCTCAGGAGAGCTGGGGACACAGGAGGTCTCAGTACATGCTTTTTGAATGAGCTCAGCTCTTTTTTTTTTTAAGAGTTGTTTTTTTTTAATTGGGGAATTGGGGTAGGGGAACAGCGCTGGGGAATCGGGGAAGAGGAACAGACAAGTTGCTGTCCTTTTGTTATTCAGTCTAGTTGTGAAGGATGTCGCTTCACTGGCCCATGTTGGTATTATCATTGTGCTTTTCCTGGGGGAGGCAGATCAGTCGCCGGCCATTGGACAGCCATTCACGGTGGCTCACGGCAGCTCACGAAAGCTCACGCCCGCTGCTGGCCAGCCCCACTGCAGCTTACACCTTCACTGGCGACTCACGGCAGCCCAGCTCCAGGTCGAGCTGTTGTTCACCATCTTAGCTGTAGAGGGCGCAGCGTCACTGGCCCTCATGTGGGATCTGAACTGGGGTCCTGCTAAGAGCTGGTGTCCCAAGCCAACTCCTAACCAATGCACCACTTGGCCAGCCCGAGCTCAGTTCTTTAGTACATCAGTCATTCAAACTCCAAACATTGAGTCCCGAGGTGAACAAATGAGGTGTGGGCTGTGCTTTTCATGGGACACACATCCATTGGAGTCAAGAACATGGATCCAACAGTCTCCCTCATGAAAGTGAGATTACACAGGGAGATTGGACTTCCAAGGGAAGCCCTTTCTTCTGTCTGGACATCCAGAGACCCTAGAACTAGCCTGGCAGAAGCAGAGATCAGGGCGGGCCTCCCTTAGTGAGCAAAGCTTGATCTAATTTGGTAAGGGGTTAAGAGCAGGCTGGACTCAGGGACCTGTACATGCAAAGGCCTAGTGACAGAGAGCTGGGGGATTGCCAGACCATGCCTAGCTTGATGCCAGCTCTGTGTTGGTGTCTGTCCTTAGAGTTATGGGAGGCAGTGAGGACTTCTTCCTTCGCCAAATAATTCCTGGGCACCAAGTATGTGCTTGGCTATAGGGAAGGACTATAGATGATAGACACAGTCCTTGGCTTTCTGGGACTCAGAGTGGATTGGGGTCAACCAACCAGCATTAGTCAGTGACAGCTGAGAAGAATAGGAATGACTGGTGTTGGGGCTGTCGGCCTCCTTGTGGGGAGAAGGAGTGGAAAGGACTTTCTCATGGGAGGTGGCAGGAGGCAGAGGAGTTGGTGACAACTGGGACCACAGGGCTCTTCTCACGCATCTTCCTCCACCCTCAGACGGCCACAACCAAGGTCCCAGAGATCCGTGATGTGACGAGGATCGAGCGTATCGGTGAGTGAGGCAGGATCTAGACCCTGCATGGCCCGTGCACCCTTGAAGAGCTAGCCTGCCCAGGAACCCCAAGAGGGAGGCAGCCTGTGCACCATCCCGTCAGATGGGGGAGGATCCTGAGTTACAGAGCGGGGTCAGATGGCATATGGGGGACCATGCCGGACCCCAAACCTAGGTTGCACTGCTGCAGGCTTGGCTACCCTGTGGGCCTCCTGGGTGTACCGGTATCCTGCTTGGAAGCCATAAAAATGGAGATTTGCTGAGTGCTTCCTGGGTTGGCTCAGAACTGAGCGTCCCATACACCCAGCACAAACTGGGACATTAGCTCTGTGAGGTCAGGGACCAGGCCTGGCTCATTCCTAGCTGTGTGTGTCCCCATCTCCTGGCAGAGGAGATGTCAACAGATAACCATTTGAATGCATGAGCTTGCATCCCGTTGACTCACAGTAGCCCCACGAGGTGCATGTTGTGACTGTCATCCCACTTTTAGCTGTGGTAACAGACTCAAAGCAGTCAAGTCACCTATCCCAGCTCACACAGCGAGTGAGCCATGGATATGGATTTAGGAATAGGAAGTCAGAATAGTGGGGCCATCAGGGTGCAGCCTTCACAAAGAGCTTTCCTTGCAGGGAGGAGACTGCACTCATTTGTTCAGATTCACTCATTCAGTGCCTCCAAGTGAGGCCATACAGGCACCCCTTGCTTTATTGTGCTTCACAGATATTGCATTTGTTTTACAAATTGAAGTTAAGACCCTTTACCAGCAAAAAGATTATGACACTGAAGGCTCAGATGATGATTAGCATTTTTTAGCAATAAAGTATATGTAAATTAAGGTATGTACATCGTTTTGCTAGACAAAAAAATTTTTTAAAAAATGCTGTTGCACACTTAACATACTACAGTTTAGTTTAAACATAACTTTTCTATGCACTGGGAAACCAAAAATTTGTGTGACTCACTTTATTGCAGTACTCACTTTATTGCGGTGGTCTAGAACCGAACCCGCAATATCTCTGACGTGTGCCTTAAAGGGCCTGTGGCTGTGAGTATGGGTTCTGGAAACATATTTCTGGGTGCCATTTCTGAGCCAATTAGTAAGGGCCTAGTTGCTCTCTGTGCCTCAGTTTCTTTATATGCAAAATGGAGGTAGAATAGTGCACTTGATTCAACAAGGTAAAGCACTTAACATGCAGCTGCTGATGTGATTTCAGCACTGCTGGGAGCTGAGGACCCAGTAAACCCTGGTGGCACCCAGTCCCTGCCCTCGGGGAACCCACAGTCTAGTGTAGGGGTTGAGAAATTTTTTTTTTTTAAAGATTTTATTGGGGAATTGGGTGAGGAGAACAGACAAGTTGCTGTCCTTTTGTTCTTCAGTCTAGTTGTGGAGGACATCACTTCACTGGCCCATGTTGGTATTATCATTGCGCACTTCCAGGGTGAGGCAGTTGTTTGCTCTCCATTGGACGGCTGCTCATGGCGGCTGACGGCAGCTCACGAAAGCTCACGCCCGCTGCTGGCCAGCTGCCCACTGCAGCTTACACCTTCGCTGGTGACTCACGGCAGCCCAGCTTTAGGTTGAGCTGTTGCTCACCATCTTAGCTGTAGAGGGCACAGCATCACTGGCCCTCATGTGGGGTCAGAACCGGGCCCTGCTGCTCAGAGCTGGCATCCCAAGCCAACTCATAACCAACGCGCCACTCCACCAGTCCGACAAATCTTTTATTTATTTATTTATTTTTATTAAATTATTTTTTACTATGAAATACACATTTTTTAGAATTAGTTTCAGCTGAACAACACAGTGCAATAGTTATACTTTTTACCCCTCGAAGTGACAACCCCCCTCCCCCAATCCGCTGCCCCATTTCCCCCCAATATCATACATATCTATTACAAATCCCTTGACTCCACTCCCACACTATACTCCACGTCCTATGACTATATATATATATGTATTCACTTATAGTTGACATACAATATTATACAACATCAGCTTCAGGTGTACAGTGCAGTGATCAAGCCTCTTCCCCATTCATGATGCAAGACGTGACCACCTGACACCCTACAAAATATTCACAACATTATCAATTACATACCTCGAACTGTCCCCCATGGCAACACTGCAGCTGTGTATTTATGCTGTCCAGCCCCCTCCCTCTCTCCCTCATCCCCACCCCCACAACCAACAGCCATCAGCTGCACCCCCACATCTCTGAGACCACCTTTGTTCACTTTCCTCGCCCATTCAGTTTTTTAGATTCCACATATAAGTGAAATCATATGGTATTTGTCTTTCTCCAACTGACTTATTTCACGTAACATAATAGTCTGTAAGTCCATCCATATCGTCCCAAATGTTATGATTTCATTCTTCTTTATGGCGGAGTAATACTCCATTGTATAAATGTACCACAATTTCTTAATCCCCGACAAATCTTTTCTTAAAAGGCCAGATAGTAAACCTTTTCTCTGGAAAATATTCAATTCTGCTGTTGCAGTGGGAAAGCAGCCGCAGACAGTGTAAGCAAATGGACGTGGCTATGTTTCAGTAAAGTTACAAAAACAAGTGGCTGGTCCACAGGCTGTAGTTTGCCCAGCCCTAGTTTAGTGTAAAGTGTTGAAACCCCAAGTCTTCACCTCTCACTGGCTGTGTGATCTTGGGCAAGGGACCTAGCCTCTCTGTGCTCCCTTCCTGCATGAGGGCCTGGGGTTTGTTATTGAACCCAGAAGCACTCCTGGGTGATAATAGCTGGGACTGTTGTTTTTCGTGGTTACATGGAATGAAATTAGAACCTGTGAGGCCACTTAGGCCATAAACACAGAGTAATTGTGATCTCCCTGGTTAGTTGCTGATTCGATTATGTGGTTAACCAGGTCTCTGTGATTTTGGTCTTGGCTACTGTGTGTCCTAAGAGCAGCTCTTGTTTTCTGAGGGTGTCCAGCCATCCTCCTAGTGAGGAGGGGATTTGGGCCCCCCATTTGGCCAAGGAGGAAGCCAGGGCCCTCATCTCACGCCACACGTATCCACAAGCTGGCCAGTAACCATGTCTTCTGGTTCTTGCCCCACAGGTGCTCACTCCCACATCCGGGGGCTGGGGCTCGATGACGCCTTGGAGCCGCGGCAGGTAGGGCCCAGCGGTGGGGTGGGAAGTTTGTGGAGGGTACCCAGGGCCCCAGGAAGTGTGGGGGCCCTTCCAGACCTTTGGTTACATATTTATAAAATTCAGCCACACATAGAGTTTTATTGGTCTTAAAAAATTGTGTGGAAAAGACTTTTTTGGCTTTTTCCCCGATCTTGAGCAGACGTCTCAAGATCACGCCGCCTACAACGCGAACAACGTCCACTTTCATCTCACTAGCTGGGAGGTGGTAGGAATGCGGTGGTAGCCCCGTAGAAAGTCACCTGGTGTGGTCTCCTGCCCCACAGGCTTCCGAGGGCATGGTGGGGCAGTTGGCAGCCCGGCGGGCAGCTGGTGTCGTGCTGGAGATGATCCGGGAAGGGAAGATCGCTGGGCGGGCTGTCCTCATCGCCGGCCAGCCGGGCACTGGGAAGACAGCCATCGCCATGGGTAAGAGACCTCTTGGGATAGGAGCTTTTCTGGTCTCACCAGATATTTCATTCCATGTAAATCAGGGTCAGGTTCAGTCACATCTAACCGACAACCCAAAATGGCAGTGACTTAAACACTCAGGGTTCTTTCTCATGTAGAAAAATCTACCGATTTAGGGCTGGATTGCCTATGCTCCAGCCTTCCCACCCATACTCCCTGTAGCAGGAAGAAGAAAGGACTTGTAAAGAGGTTCTACCTCTTAGAGGTAGCTCCCTGTAAGGACTTGTCTTGGGAGTCCCACGCACTTCTATTGATATTTTATTGACCAGAACCTAATCATATGGTCACACTCTGCTGCAAGGGAGAGTGAGACATTAAAACATGTTTTCATATTTTAATTTGAACCATTGCTACCTTAATAAAATGGGGGTTCTAGAACTAAGAAAGGAGAAGATGGGCGTTGAGTAGATAACGAGCAGTCTCTTTTGCAATCCACTAGCGATTTAAGATCATTTTACTTACAGTTGTTCCTCATTCTCCGTGTTGAACTCTTATCCATCCTTCTAAACCCTACTCAGGCATCTCTTCCTTGTTGAAGCTTTCCTTGACTCTCCTCTCTTTCCACTCACTCTCACCTTTAAGCTCAGACTGAGGGGCCAGGCAGTGAGAATCAAGGTAACAACCAGGTTTTCAATTAAGACAAAGCACTACTCATTCATGTGCCCTGGAGTACCAGGCCCTGGACCAGACACTGAGGACACAAAGATGAGTAAGACCACAGGTCTGACTTCAAGGAGCTTCCTGTCTGTGGGAGGTGGTTATGGAAACAGTCCCTTCCAGGGTGATGTGTGCTCCTGACCCTACTGGAGTGGAGGGAGGTGGTAGCAATTGTGAGGAGAGGCTTCCCATATAGGTTAGTACCTGATCTAAGACTTACAGGGTGTCTGGAAGTCCCCTGGACAGACAACAGGGAGCAGGATACCCAAGCACAGAGCATGGTATACATCTGAAAAGGGGACCAGGAAGAGTCCCCCACTTTCACATTGGTCAGGAGGGTTCAGTGACTTCCTGTTTGTGAGACTTGGCCCAGAGCTGAGCAGAGCACTCGGGACAGGGTGCTAGGAGGGCAGCTCAGTGCTTGGAGTCATTGCAGGGACAGCCTTGCTGTCTGCCAGCCAGGCCACACCTCAGTCCGTAAAGAAGGCCTGCTCCTGTGCTGGTTCCAGGCCATGGGATGAGGTCACGGTTGAGCACCCTGTCATTCCATTCCTGCCCGCCCTCATCGTCACTCCCATGCACAATGCTGTCCTGTGCCAGCACCTGCTCTGTTATTGTCGCCATCACACCGAGGGAGACACAATTTGAGGAGCAGACGGCTCAAGATCACGCCACCAAGTGGTGGAGCCGGGATTTGAACTGAGGCAGTCTGGCTCCAGAGCCATCACTCTTTAACTCCTTTTTCAGCCCCTTGGCCTCCATGCCTGCTTGGTACCCCCAAGCCCTGAGGCTAAACAGCTCTGAGAGATTGGGGGGACAGGTTTGGCAAGATTATAGGGCCATAAAGTTTACCTTCTAGATGGTGGGTTTCTAACCCAGGCCTCCTGATGAGGCCTTCTCTCTCTGGCTTTCTTCACGTCACCCTGTCTGCCCCATAGCACAAAAAGCTGATTTATCCTGATGGTGTTAGGGACCTGGTACCACGGCCGCCCCCACTAACCCAGACTACCTACTTCCCAGGCATGGCTCAGGCCCTAGGCCCAGACACTCCATTCACAGCCATCGCTGGCAGTGAGATCTTTTCCCTGGAGATGAGCAAGACAGAGGCACTGACACAGGCCTTCCGGAGGTCCATCGGTGTTCGCATCAAGTAAGCATGGGATGGAGCAGCTGCCAGCAGCCTTGGGACTACCCCTGCCCTGGCCAGTTTGTTGTGTGCCCAAGGGTTCATGGGAGCTAGCAATTCCCAAGGGTGCGGGTGTCAGGAGCCCTCCTGAGATCTTCTCTCTTGCTAGGGAAGAGACTGAGATCATCGAAGGGGAGGTGGTGGAGATCCAGATTGACCGGCCAGCAACAGGGACGGTGAGTGTGCCTGAGTCTAGGGCTACCTCCAGGGCTGAAGGGTCAGGATGTCAGTTCTGTGCTGAGGTCAAAACCCCACGGAAGGTTCGAGCTGCAGATTAGAGCATCTGCATGCCTGTGGTAGGAGTCATTTGAATTGACAGCAGTTCATCCATTTGTAAGGGACACGGTGAGCAGTTAAAACCAAATGGTGGAATAAGAGAAGGTCTGGAAGTTTCTCACAGTGAATTCCTAACAGTTAGGCTTAAACACGCAACTTAGTACTAGCTTAGTACTGAAAGGCATTTCCTGTCCAGCTTATGTGACGGATGCGATTCTCTCCTTTTTTTTTTTTTTAAAGCTAACTCTGTTTTTTTAAAACCTTTTTTGGGGTAAAATAAAACAGATACAAAGAAACATGTGAAAGAAGTGTGTAGTCAAATAAATTATTCTAAAGCAAATACCCTCATTACCTACCACCAAGATAAAAAACCAGAACTTTTGTCAGTCCCCCAGCTCTGAGTCCCTTCCTTGTTCCTCTTTCACCATCCACCCCCCGCCCAAGTGTCCCCACAGAAGTGGCCACCCTCACCCATTATCACGTCTTTGTGTGTTGTCAGTTTTGTCGTCCAACTCTGCATTCTTAGACACTATAGCTTATTCCACCCATTTTTTTTAAATTTCATGTCTCTTAAGTCTTTTCATGGTCTTGTCTCCCCATTCATCTCTTTCTTTACCTTACAGTTTATCTGTCAGTCTCTATTTTTAATTGAGGCACAGTCACTTAACATAAAATTAACCATCAATTAACCATTTTAAGGTCACTCTCCCTTCCCTCTGCCCCCGCCCCCCCCCACCACCTGGCAACCACAAATCTGCTTTCTGTCTCTAGGGATTTGCCTATTCCGGACATTTCATATAAATGGGATCCTACAAGGTGTGACCTTTTGTTGTCTGGCTTCTTCCACCTGGCATGGTGTGTTTGAGGTTCATCCATGTTTGTAGTTCTTTCTTAAATATTAAGTTACAGCTGCTAGTAAAATGCCTAATAAAGGAAAACTTAAACATGCTTCAAGCTTATTGACCTAACCCAGAGTCACCTTCTGTTTTTACGTCTTGTCATATGGACACCCTCCTGTTTTTTCATTTGCTCCTCATTTTCAATGGAAATAGACTTTAAGTGCATAATTACGTTGCCTTGCACTTTTATTTTATTTTATTTTTTTAGCTGAGCCATCCTGCCACCTGTTGGCAGCTCAGCGGCTGCTCAGCTCGGGCCGGGCATCGAACCGCTGTTGCTCAGAGCTCAAACTCTTGAGTGAGCTGTTAACCAACTGAGCTACTCGGCCGGCCCTGCCTTGCACTTTTAACCCCTGTAAACAGCCTCCTAAATTAGTCCCATCTATAGGCAACTAAATTTTGAATTTTAAAAATATAGTAGGAGAATATTTAAATATAGAGAAAGCTATTCCCAAGCTAGTTCTTTAAATTAAATTTTGATTACAGGAGAAATCCATGGTAACAGCCTCCCTTTAAAAATTAGAAAAACAAAACTACCTTTAACTCCCTTTCCAGTCCCAGCCCTTTTGTCCTGCCATCTGTCCTTACAAAAGGAGCAGCTCACTGTGGAAACAGTTAAAAGAAATGAGATAGTTGGATATGCTGGGAAAGCCCTGAGAAGTGTTGACTGTGCTTATCACGTGGCGACGGGGGAGTGGCATTTTTGTATTCTTAGCTTTGTTTAGCTTAGCTTTGTTTAGCTTAGCTTTGTTTTCTGGGTTTGCGATTGACAAAAAACACCTTTTATTTGGTATATAAAAGGAGTGTTAGAGTGTGACCCCCTTGGCCATTCTGTGGGACCTCAGGCCTATGTTGTTTTTATAGACTATCTTTTAGGTTTTTGTTTGTTTACTGGGTTTTTCGTAGTAGCTTTACTGAAGTGCAGTTGACATACAATAAGCCCCCCACATTGAAAGTTTATAAGGTGTTAACATTTTGACATGCTTGTACATGTGCACCCACGAAGCTATCACCACGATCATGGCAGTGAATACGCCCATCACCCCCAAAGTTTTCCTGTGTCATGCTCCATTAGCAGCTGTGTTGGGAAGGCACTGGGGCCCTCTCTGAGCCCTTGCCTGGTATGTCATCGCTCTCAGGGCTCCAAGGTGGGCAAGCTGACCCTTAAGACCACTGAGATGGAGACCATATATGACCTGGGCACCAAGATGATCGAGTCCCTGACCAAGGACAAGGTCCAGGCTGGGTGAGCAATGCGGGGGCCGCACAGGGCGCCCAGGGAAGGGGAGCTCGGGCGCCTTCCTTTCCTTACTCTCACCCTCCTTCCCCCTGCAGGGACGTGATCACCATCGACAAGGCCACGGGCAAGATCTCCAAACTGGGCCGCTCCTTCACACGCGCTCGTGACTATGATGCCATGGGCTCCCAGGTGGGCCAGGGCTCTGGAGATCCCTCCCCCCACTCCAGGCACCAGGATATTTCCCTCTCCTCTATCACCCCCATGGCTTACAGTGTCTGGATCCTCCTGTCACCCAACCCCATGCCCCGGTGGTACTCCTGGTTCTTTCCTGTACCCTCTAGGACAGTGGGGCCCTTGAACTTGGCCCTGTGTTCCTAGTTTCCGAGATCCCCCAGGAACCCCCATATCCTTCAGTGCTCTTGAATGCCTAGTCTTGACTACCTCCTGGGCCTAGGGTTTCTGGCTAACCCCCATCTGGATTCCCAGTTCCTTTCCAGGGATCCCCAATCTTGCCCAGACAGAGTCCCTGTGGGCCCCCTTCATGCTTTTCTCTGCCTTTGTCTCTACCCCCCCCGCCCCAACTCTCCACGCCACCCTCACCCCACAGACCAAGTTTGTACAATGCCCAGACGGGGAGCTCCAGAAACGCAAGGAGGTGGTGCATACGGTGTCCCTGCATGAGATTGACGTCATCAACTCCCGCACGCAGGGCTTCCTGGCCCTCTTCTCTGGTGAGGCCCTATCCGCCCTCACCCATCCTCCTGTCTGTCCTCCCAGATGGCCATGTCTGACAATGACTCTGTCCTCTTCCTCAGTCCCTGTTGGCCACCTTCTGTTTTTCTCCATCTGTGTGTGGTTCGACCCTCCCCCTCTTTGCTGCTGAGTCCCTCTCTCAGGTGGTCTGATCAGGTCCTGGCCCTGTCCTCTCTCACTCCTGGGCTCTCTCTGTAGGGGGATATTTCGGATTCCCTCTCCCTCCTGTCACTCTGCCACTCCAGTCTTGGACCCCCTCCCCACTGTTGCTGGCATTCTAGTTTCCTCCGCCTTCATCCACCCTCTGGCCCTGGATCCCTGTCTCCTGTCTGACCACCCTCCCCAATGCCACTCCTGCCTCCCACAGGTGACACAGGAGAGATCAAGTCAGAAGTCCGAGAGCAGATCAATGCCAAGGTGGCTGAGTGGCGCGAGGAGGGCAAGGCGGAGATTATCCCTGGGGTGAGTGAGTACTGGGCATGGCTGGGCAGGCGGCTTGGGGTGAGGGGACGGGAGAAGAGGTGGCATGGCTCGTGGGTTGGACACATGCCCTGATGGCTCGCAGGTGCTGTTTATCGATGAGGTCCACATGCTGGACATCGAGAGCTTCTCCTTCCTCAACCGAGCCCTGGAGAGCGACATGGCGCCTGTCCTCATCATGGCCACCAACCGTGGCATCACCCGGTGAGCCGGCTGCTGGCCCTCTCAAAGGCCTCTGGGGAAAATGGGGTTCTCTGGGCGGCAGGTATACCCACAGGGTAGACAAGGCACATTCGTTGAACACCTTTTTAGGAAGGTATGAACTTAGGGGCTCATATCAGGCTACATAAGTACTGTGGCCCAAGAGAGAGGTTGTACTTTTCCCTTAAACAAGGTAGGTGGATGGTCAGGGCGGGTAGGCAGCTTTGCTCCACAGGGAAGCCCATGGACTATATTCTTTCTTTCTTCTTGTTCCCTTATCCCTTTAAGGCTATCTTTCCCAAACTGTGTGCTGAGGCATGCCAGGGTGCTGCATAAAACACAAGAATTTTATGGGATAGTTTTAAGTTTTTGAGGGAAGCACAATAATGTGTTGGACATTGCACAAACCAATTAAGTCACTCAGACCTAATTACATAATAAATGGAACATAACTTAGAGTTTTTTTGGCCTAAGGATACTGTGGAAAAATATCCTGAGACATGAAGGGCACCTGGCTCCGATAAAGCTTGGGAACCCCTGGCCTAGGGTGTTGTCAGTGCCCCATGCCCTGCTGTCCCAGCAGGCTCTCTTCCCCACCTCATCTACTTTTCAGCCCACAGGAAGGGGGAAGGAAGTGGGGAGCAAACAGCACCCCCAGTAGGTCTCCCAGGTACTGGAGGCTGCACCCAGCATTTCCACCAAGACCCGTTGTCCTGCACCATTCTGGTGCATGGCTGTGGCTGTGCCTGGCAGTGTGGGAGGCGGGGGAATGTCATCTCCAGTGCTACAGCCATTTGCCCCCTGAAACTGGCTGGTGGGGCTAGTATCACTTCAGGGAAGAAAGGGACATGGCTGGTAGGGGCAGTGACAGGTTTTTCCTGGCTCTGTGCTCAGCACTTTTCCCGGATGAACTGCTTGGACCCTCAAAAGAAGCTCAGGAGGTAGATATTGTCTCAGCCCCATTTTACAGGTGAGGACAGCAAGGCCTGCCAACCTGCCCAGGGTTGAATATAAAATTTGATCTCCAAAGGCCTGAGGACTAGAGGAGACTGGCTGAGAGCGTTTGTAGCAGCTGCAGCTTAGGACGTGGGAAGTTGCCACAGGATGACTCCAGTGAGAGGCAGCAAATTTAGTCACCCCTTGTTATTTGCAGATTCTGCATTTGTGAATCTACTTACTTGATAAAAATATATCAGTAGCCCCCAAATTGGTGTTTGCAGACATGTGCAGAGTGGCAAAAGGTTTGAGTTGCCAGGCGCAGATACTCCAAACTAAGGTCAAACAAGGTGACACTCTGCCTCCTACTTTCAATTCACATGCTGTAAACAAGTGTCCTTTTCATGATTTAGTGCCATATTTGTCACATTTTATGCTTTTTGGTGGTGATTTTGCTGTTTAAAACAGCCCCCAGCTGTCCTGTATTCCTAAGTGCAAGAAGGCTCGGATGTGCCTTATGGAGAAAACGTGTGTGTTAGATGAGCGTGGTTCAGGCATGAGTTACAGTGCTGTTGGCCGTGAGTCGAATGGGAGTGAGTCGATAATATATATTAAATAAGGTGTCTGTAAACATAAACACATAAAACCAGGTTATATACTGTTTGGTTGACAAAAATATAGGGACCAAAGGCTCACAAGAACCTAACCGTGTATTTTCCCGTAGGAGCACTGATTTGCTCCTGAATGGTACCCTGTTCACCCCCACTTTGTAGAATGTAACTCCTGCCAGTGACTAGAATCACCTGTACTTCCTAGCGCCTGCTGTGTGCTGGGCCAGGTGCAGCAAGAAACAACCCACACGATCCCATCCCTTGTGGAGCCCTGTCAAGCAGGGGAGTGGGACCTTGATCCAGTAATCCCGGACATAGCTATCTAGCTAAAACCAGCCAGGCTCGACAGCAGGATTGACGCAGTCTGGGGAAGGCTGCGCAGTTAGGCATGACGCCAACTGTGAGCTGAAGGTTAAGTGGTATTTGGCCCAGTGAGTGGGCTGTGGTGGATTGGGGTGGCTGGGGTGTCCCAAGTAGAAGGAATGGAGATCCAGGTTCTGGGAGCATCACCCTGACAGCTTTCCCTTCCCCCTGCTTCGCAGGATCCGGGGCACCAGCTACCAGAGTCCCCACGGCATCCCCATCGACCTGCTGGACCGACTGCTCATCGTTTCCACCTCTCCCTACAGCGAGAAGGACACGAAGCAGATCCTCCGCATCCGGTGCGGGCAGGGCCACCTGGCATTCCAGGGCAGGTCCAGGCAGGGCTGGTGTCCACTCTGTTTGACAAATGTGGACAGTGAGATGTGGGGGAGATTTGACTGGCCCAAGGTCACTGGATCTGCAAGAGGTGGGGCCAGGCATCCAGGCAGCACCTTCCCATCCAGGGTCAGGGCCCTTGTGGGGAAGGAAGGGAAGGGCTGGTAACTGACATCGGGGAGAGAAGGGAGGCCCCGCCTGTGCCTCAGTGGCCCTTCTAGCATTCTGTGGTTCTTGGGACCACATGTGCCCCCTGGAGGTCATGTAGTGCCCAGGGAGAAGGGCCGAGAGCTTGCTGCAGTCAGAGGCCTGGCCCTGGCTGAGCCCCCTGCCTTCATGTGCCCACAGATGTGAGGAGGAAGATGTGGAGATGAGTGAGGACGCCTACACGGTGCTGACCCGCATTGGGCTAGAGACTTCACTGCGCTATGCCATCCAGCTCATCACGGCTGCCAGCCTGGTGTGCCGGAAACGCAAGGTCAGCCAGCTAAGGGAGCCTGCAGGGGACCAGGTTGAGGGAGTGACCCACTACTCCAAGGGCTTTGAGTGGGTTGTTGCATTTAGTCCTAGAACATACATCTTCAGAGGCAGGGCACTTTGGTCTCAGGTTTATATCTGTATCTCCTGGCCTAACACATGGTAGGTGCTCAGTAAATATCTGTTGACTGCAAGTTGATACTGTTAAGTTCATCTTACAGATCAAGAAACTAAGGAATGAGAGGCTAGGCCCACAGCCAGGAGGTGGTCGAGGAGGGATTTGAACCCAGGCAGTCTGGCTTCAGAGTCCCCACCTTGCCCCACCTCATAGGGAGGGGCCCCACTGAGGTCTCACAATCCCCCTTCAGGGCACAGAAGTGCAGGTTGATGACATCAAGCGGGTCTACTCGCTCTTTCTGGATGAGTCGCGCTCCACGCAGTACATGAAGGAGTACCAGGACGCCTTCCTCTTCAATGAACTCAGTGAGTGTCTATCCATGTCCCCACTTGCCCTCAGTGGTCACCCACAGGAAGAGGAGGGAGGGAGCCCAGCCTGGAGAGCTCAGGCCTTGGCCTCTGGGCCACAGCAACCACTTGACCGTCTTGCTCCCCACAGAAGGAGAAACCATGGATACCTCCTGAACTGATGTTCCCCTCACCTTGGCCTCTCCTGTTTTCTACCAGAGTTCTGACACTGTGACTTTATATAAAATACTTCTGAAACTGGACCCATTGTGTGTGCACGTGCGCCCTGAACCCAAAAAAGCAACCCTGGGGTGTGGTTTGAGAAGCCTTTATTGGGAGGGGAGGGGAGGAGCGTCTGCTGGGGTGGGTATGGGAGGTTGGGGTGGGAGACCTTTAGAGGAATAGGAGGTCTGGGAGAGGGGGACGGTCACAGGCCAAGGGTTGGGCTTTGGGACCCCCACAGTCAGAGCTGCTGAGGCGGCAGGGCCCACAGCGACAGCTGAGGGCCACAGGGAAGGAGACCATCGGGTCCACGCCAGGTGGGCAGCCAGGGAGGCGGATGGAGGCAAAGCTCAGCTCACGGTAGGTGCACACCGGTTGGGGCACAGGCGGCAGGGCGGCAGGCAGCACACGCACCTGGAGTCCACAGGGGGTGGGAGAAGCCTGGGTGTCTGTCGGGTGCCGAGCCCTCCCCGGATCTCCCCGCTGACCTCCACAGATCCCAGACTCAGGTATCCAGGGGACCCTCTGTCCTTTTCCCTCCCACACGTCCAGCTCTGATTCCAATTCTCCTGCCCCTGCCCCTGCCCGGGGGGGCAGCCCACCTTCCAACCCCGCTACCACATCCTGTCTCCTGTGGCCTGGCCCTGAGTGATCCATCCTGGCACTGAGGTGCAGCACCTGTCCTGAGGACAGCAGGGCTGGTCCCCTCCTGCCTTGGGCAGCTTACCATGCTGGGGCAGTAGCCGGCACAGATGCTGGTGGTGAAGGTGATGCAGACAGGGCAGGCCTCATTCTCGGCAGCCAGAGTAGCATTGATGGGTCGGCACAGTGGCCGCAGTGGTCCCCTGGATGTCCGCACCCCACCCGCGCTCAGCAGCAGCCACAACAGCAGCCCCTGTGACAAGGCTGTTGCCTCAGGGCCAGCCTGAGACCTCTGCCCCTGGTCTTTAACCTTTCCATCCCCCACGTACACACATGCAGAGACCCAGCTCCCCTGCCTGACGACTTCCATTCAGGGCCAGCCCCTCCACTTAGATCCCCCATCCCAATACCCAGGAACCCCAGACACCCCAACACCTCAGATACCCACACTTAGGCCCTGCCCCACCACGTCCCCCCTCCTAGCATGAAACCTGCCAGCTGTCTACACTCTCCTAGAAAGAATCCTCGTTTATCAGGTCACAGGACTCTTCATGCCACCTGTGGCCTGGATGGAGTTGCAAGGTGCCCAGGGGCCCCACAGTCTTACCTGGAGCATCTCCATCCTTTTTGCCTCCCTACAGTGTTTACCTGGTCTTATACCTGCAGGCTGTGGGGGCGGCAAGGCCACTGGAGATGGTGGCATAGCTGGGTAACCTGGACACTAATCTCCCCGGAGGCGAGAGGCGGACAAGGTCAGGGAGGTACAAAAGTGGCTCAGCAGAGCACCCCCTCCCCCATTCCCTGAGTGGCTCCTGCACCAAGAAGCTGGAGACACTCAAGGTGACAGCTGACCACAGACTGAATCCTCAGGTGCTAGAGAGGTTGTGTTTGGAGCACAGGAAATAGGGTATAGGAAGCCCTTGGCCGTACCCCCTGGCTGTGTAGCCCCACTTCTGCCCATCATGGGGGGAAGGTAAGGGGAGACTAGAGCTCACCTCCCCGACAACCTTCCAAGAATGGTGATGGGCAGAAGCTTCAACCCTGCTCCACCTGCCATAGACTGAAAACCAGAGTCCAACCTTTTAGGAGGGACTTGGCTTCAATATTGGATTCTGTGCTCAGTCGGGTTCGCCTGCACCCAGACGCGCCCCTCCTCCACAGTGATTCATCGGGAACCCATGTCCCCCACACAGGCCCTCAGAAGCCAAAGCAGAACCCAGCAAGGAGCATGGTATAAGCTATTTAACAGTCATTGACTAAGATAAGCTCCGCCCCTTCTGCCGCAGAGGATGTGTTTTGCTGGCTGGCCCACTGCCCCAGAATACATTTTCCCCCGCCCAATGCCCCCCACACCCACACCCACACGCATCAGGTGGGCGTGTCTCAGGCGCTGTCCCTTCCCACGTGACGGAAAGAGTTCCCGAGCTCAGCGCCTCCCACTGCGTCCACTTGCTGTCTTCCAGGTTCGGCTCCGCCCCCGCTTTAGGGGCGTGTCTGGGGGCGGGGCTAGCCAGGCAGCTCAAACAAGCGCGGGCTTCAAGCTGCAGTAGCTGGAGTTCTCGGTGCGGTAGGCTTGCGGCACGCTGTAAATTCCCGGCACCGGCTTCCAGTGGGGGCCGCCCCAGGGCAGCTCTATCGGACAGAAACGGTCAAGCACGCGGAGTGGATGCAGCGGGGACCTGTAAGACTCCTGAACCAGAGACAGCGCCCCGCGGTGCGGTACGGCTGGCGTGACCGGGCCACGGGGAATGCGGATCCGAGGCAGCCGAGATGAGAGAGGACAGGGTGGCCGCTGGGGGCCGTGGCCCCAGGCCTCGGGCGTCTCCTCGAAGCTCCAGTATTTCAGCGAGTCCTTACGGGGGTATCCAGACAACTCCTTCCTGTTGGGGGAAGGCAGGATGGGGAGGGTACAGGTGGATCTTCGGAGCGAGACTGAGGTTCAGACCTCGGGTCATGAGGAGGCTGGAGACCCGAACTCCTTTTCGAGGCGAGGACACATTTGTAGGAGTTGGGGACCACTTAGAAAGGATGGGGCTCGGGACTCCTAGCCTGGATTCCTGGGTCCTCGAAGTATTTAAGGGCCTGGAATCTGGGGTTTTTGCATCCTTGGGAAGGAGTATCTGGGGTCTCAAATGCCAAAGTAGGTCCCGCCCCAGACCCTCAGGGCCCTGCTGCCTGATCCAGAATTCCCTTTTTGGCCCTCCGCAGGCTTCGTGTTCCTGAGACTTGACAGTAGGATACCTGGGCACTAAAAGAGGTAGGGGCTGGGGTCTGAACTTCTGGTTCTTGCACGTGTGGGAGCTGAAGGCTGAGACTACTCATTCAGAGAAGGGGAGCCGACCCCAGGGGGGTCGGCGTTCCACCAGCCTACGCAGGGTCTGTGCAGAGGGCGGGGCCCAGCGAGGACCCAGGCTCACTTCGTGTAGGCCCGGAAATCCCGGGCCGAGGTTGTCATATAGAGCTGATGGCAGCCCAGGATCCCCTGGTCATATACTGTGAAAGGCCGGCCGGCCAGCCGGGGATTCTTCATCCAGGGGATTAGAGCCTGAGGAGAATCGGGCAGGAGGGATGACCAAAAAAGAGGTTTCATATCCCGTTCGAAGCCTTGGGTCCCAGACTCAAAATTCCTCTTCCTTCGGCCTCAACTGCCCCTCTGGACTAGGCCCCCACACCCGCCCCCAGAATCAGAATTCTTCCTGTCCAATCGCATGTCAGGGCACTCTTAGCTTCGCTCCTCGAATCAGAACCCTTATTAGGGTTACTCCAAAACCTAAACACTTTCTGCCCATCATCTAATACAAAGCCAAGCCTTCAGACTCAAACCAGGAATTCAGCCGCACCTTGGGCAACGAATTCCTCCTTGCTTCATCCTATCCCAGAAAGCCTAGCCCCGCCTCCCGTTCGCACCTGGTCTCAGAATATTCAAGACAGTACTCTGCCTGGCTCCGCCCCCAGCCTCAGAACTTCCTCTTTACCCAACCCAGCATTTGCTAGTTGGGGCCCAGCCTCAGAGCTGGGATTCCGGGTCTTCCCCTCCTCCTTCTGGCCCCTCCTCATTACGTCAAAGCCCCTCCCACAGTCTATGTACTCTCCTGATTCCGCCCCAGACCTTTTAGCCACGCCCCCAGGCAAAATATTCCTCCTGGCCCCGCCCCAGGCTCTCCAAGCTCTGTCCCACCGCGCTTGCGCGGTCTTCTCCGCTACCTGTGAAGGGCTCGCGCGGTGGTGGTCCGCAAGTTCCAGGGACTGGGGCCCAACATAGGTGGCACTCTGGTCCAGGCCGGGCCAGCCGGTGTACTGCGCCCTCGTCTCACTGCACTGGTGTTTTGTGATCAGAGGGAGGCGCCAGGCTTGGTGTCTGAGCTGCGGGAAGGCCACGCCGGAACACAACGTGAGGGCTCACAGGATTCCAGTGCGGTCCCCAGTCCAGTTCCCCACGGACCTCAGCATCCCAGAACCTTACCTTTTCCCCTAAGTCCTTGATTCCCATAGTCCGCGTGGGGTTCGCAGGCTCTGGGGCCCTGGGCTGAGCGTAGGGCCCGCCGTGAGTTTTGGGCACCTGAGCCGAACCGGAGGTTGTCTCCCATCTGCTGATGACCTCGTCGAAAGCCCAGACGTGCAAGTCCTGTTTTGCGGCCGGGGGCAGGGGCTCCGCGAGCGTGGACTGGGCAGAAGGCGAGGGATGTCAGCTAAAAAAACTCAGGCGTCCGGCTCTCTATCCCTCTCTCCCAGTCTGTTCCCAGCCTTTTCCTCTTTCAGTTCTAAGCATCCAGGTTCCCTGGCTCCTTCTCTGTCAGACTCAGGACTCCGGGGCCCTCCTACTTCAGTCAGGAGTCCAAGCCCCCAATCCCCTTTTCTTTCAGCAGATGTCTCGTTTCCTAGGCCCCTCCTTCAGACACAGGAGTCTGGGCTTCTAGGTTCCATTTGGCGAGGAGCCTAGGGTCCTCTCACCTGCACAGTAGGCGGGGAAAAGGGCGCGGATGGGATAATGTGGTGGGCGACGCCACTGCTGGTAAGGTGCCAGTTGGGCCCGGATCCAGGCACCTCGGTCCCAGAGATGGGGGGCCAGGGAGGGCCACAGCACAGAGCTAGGGTCCGACCAGCCATGGTCCCACCCCCGCCCGTTTGCCCAGCAGAAGCAGGCTTGTTGTTGCCGTTGCCCCAGGTAACAGACCCCGCCCACGCTGAATCCAGCCAATGGAGGGCCTGCAGGCGTTTGGATGGATAGAGTGAGAAAGACCCAGGCACCGAGGGACAGGGACTTGGAGAGAGGGGGACGGAGACCCAAAGAGACAGGAGGGCAGAAATGGGGGAGAGGGAAAGGGGGAACACAAGTTCAATTGTAGAATTTTAGGGACATAGAGACCCTGGGGGGTGGGGAATACAGAGACCTACGGAGGAGGCAACAGAGGGGGACAGAAACCTGTGGGGGAAGAGGACAGAGACTACCCAACACATCAGGGACCCCATTCCTATAGGGTCCCAGCCCTCTGGGCTACCTGCTCCCTCTGCCAGGCCTGCCCATCTCAGGAGTAACGATTTCCAGACTTCTCTAGGCTCCCCTCCCTTGTGTGAGCTGAAGGAATCAGCATCAACGTGGGTTTCGTCTGTCCTGCTGCCTTTGATTTGATTGAAAACTTCCACCTGGGTATGGGGATGGGCAGAGGGAGAGACAGAAATGCACAGGGAAATACTTAGACAAAAAGGTGGGGGCATGTGGAAAGAGCTTTGATGATTGAGAAATACATACAAGAATGAGTGAGAGACGGTGACAGAAAGAGAGCTACTGACCCAGAGACAAGATGGGAAGTTACACGGAGAGACAGGGAAGCAGCAAAAAAGGGAGTGGAAACTGCAGACCTAGAACAGAGATGTAGAAACAGAGGCAGCCAGACCCTGCCCTGCCCTGCCCTGCTCCCCGCACCTTTCCCAGGGGTCCATTCTGTGTTGGTGGGGGTCTAGGATTTCTATGTCCTTAGCCCAAAGCTGGTCCTAAAACAACGTTTATGAGATAAGGAGTGGTAATTCATGAAGGGGTGTCCTGAGAATGGGTCTGCCTCTGATTTCTCTTGTCACTTCCTCACTTTAAAGACCTTTTGGTCAAGTCCTCTGCCTCCTCAGTCCCAATTATCTCATCCCACCAACCCATTCTTCAGACAGAGAAAACTGGTTGCCTTTTGCAGCCTGGCCCAGGGTCCCACTGACACCCTCATTGAGGCTTTGGCACCCCTTCTCCTATTGGATTTTCCTGGCCCACTCAAGGTCTATCAGTCTCCAAATGACCCCCGATCCTAGCCTTGGTCAGAACCTCATGCCCTACTCAAGCTGGACAAATTTAAGGTTTATTTCTTTCCCAATGTGAGGTAAAGGTTGGGACAGGGAAGGGTGGTAGAAACCTGACTCCAACTCCCCACCAAGGCCAAATTCTCTAGCATCCTGACCTATCATTCAACCTTTCTTGAGCTCCTACTGTGATGGGTAGCTCACTACCTCAAAATAAATTCTTGCCCCATCTGACCAAGTAAATTTCCCATTCGAACCCTAGCTCCCAGCTTGTTGCTTACATATTCCAGTTTTTATGCTCCCCCACCCTCTTCTTGACATATCCCCTTGTCATTCACTCCAGAATGGGCGAGGTGATGTCCGCTGAGATCCATGGTCAGCAACTTAGATGCCAAGGGCCTCCAATGGCCAAATTCACCACAGTTGGTCTGACAAGTTGTGTATTAGAGCTGATAAACAGTAGGCACTCAAAACATTGGCTGTCATCATCATCATCATCACCCTCGAGTTTATCCGAGAACTCCTATTCATCCTTCAAAACCCCATTTGGTTTTACCACCTGTCTTGCACAGATTGAGCTCTCAAGATCAGGGAGCTGTGACTTTGTGACCATTTGACAAGTTACCAAACTGAGGCCCAGAGCAGCCAGGCCACCCCTGATGTCCCTTAGCATCCAGCTCTCTTCCTCTGGTTGCCCAATTCCCAGGCATGGGCCTCAGGCCCGGCCAGTCCGACTGAGGAGTGTGCAGACGCAGGCAGTGTCAATTCGAATCCATCGCCAGCCCACACGGCCCTGGGCATCAGTGGTCAATGCCCGCACATAGGATTGTTTGGCCTTACACTCAGACACCCAGTGCCTCCGGTCCACACCCCGGCAGCCCCCTCCACCTCCTTCGGGGCCACCTTCCCCAGTGCTGTCAGTCTTGCACCGAGTCTCAAAGAAGTACTGGCGAAGGGGACTGCCGCCAGCTGCAGGCACCTCGCCGAGCACCTCCACCTCGCGCCCACGCAGGTCCACAGCTGTCCGGCGGTCTGTCACCCAGCTACTGACTGCATCACACACAGCCAGCTCTCCCCGGCGACTCGCTGGTGCTGTCTCGCTCACTCCTCGCCTACTTCGGTTAGCTGGGCTGCCTGCTGGCTCCCCGAAGGCACTGGCCTCCAGCAGAAAGAGCAGAGGAGGGCCCGCGGGGGTGCCCCTGGACAGGACTACTCGGGGAGAAAGGAGGTCCCACTCAGGGGCTGGAAATGGGGGCAGTGGTGAGGGTGGGGGATGGGATTCCACTGGGACACAGGGGAGAAGGCAAAGGAGGAGGATGGGGAGGGAGCATGAGGGGTGCGGGGGCATCTCGCTGAGCACCTGAGGATGGAGACAGGGGAGCTAGAGTTAGAGAAGAGGTCAATAACTTAGGAGGGGATCTGCATGCCAGAACCACAGGGGGGTCTGTGTTCTAGAACCTTGGGGGACCCTATATGCTAGGATTGGATAATGTCCAACCTTTAGATTAATCATAATTATTCTACCTCTATTACAAATAATAGCCAACAATTGGGGAAATACATATGGCTCAGAGAGGTTAGTGACTTGTACTAGGTCACACAGCCAGCAAATGCCAGAGATGGGACTCGAACCCTGTCTGAGCAACTCCACTCTGCCATACTGCCTTGACAACCCCAAGGAACCCTAAGTCCTGCAGCCTGGAGGAGGTTTGAGGTTCCAAAATTCTGAGAAAGGCCATGTTCTGGAATCCTAGGGAGATCCAAGTTCAGCTCAAAACTGCCACTAAGAAGGCAAGACATTTCCTCTCTTAGGCAGGGCCTCAGTTTACCTGTCTGTGAAATTGACCTGGGGCTGGGAGATGCAGGTGGGGGTGTGGACACTGCAGTTTCTCTAGAACATTCTGGAAACCTGTGGTTCTGGGAGGGTGGTGTGGAGAGGACTGGGTAGTTACCAGACCTGTCAGCACCTCCGTCTCCAAGCTCCAGGGCTGGGGGCCCCCAGGCTCCAGGGGGGCCCTGTGGGGGACACAGGTGGCCCCCTCCTTCCTGACATCTCAGGAGAGGGAGGGGGCAACCACCTAGGGGAAGAAGGGAACAGACAGGTTATATAGGCAGGTGGGGGAGGGGGCCAGAATCCCTGGACACTCCCCTTCCCAGTGTTCCTCTTAAAGTGTAGGGTACCCAAGAGTCAAGGCCTCACCCCCTTTCCAGAGGCCCCTTCTCTGCCCAGGTGATGGCTCCTGGCTGAGATGGGAAGCAGATGGGGGGAAGGGAGGGGAGGCGAGAGGCTGGAAAAGATTACATCCTCCTAGGCCCATTCATCTCCCAGACAGGGCAGGGGCGGGGCTGGTCTGGACACCCGGGTCCCTGAGGGCCCACACTCAAGAAGCCCTGGGTCCCCGAGGCTGCTTCCTGGAATGTTCTCTCCACACAGGACAGGCCAGGGCCCGTCCAAGACTTCTACTGCACATACCTGGAGTGGCTGCCTGCCTTGGCTGGGAGATGGGTAATGGAAAGGTGGGGTGTGAAGAGAGGCGCATGTTGACTCAACCAGGACCAGTAGTGTATGTCCTCAGCTGTCTCCTCCCTCAGACCAGGAGTCCTGGTCCCCAGCTGCCTCATCCCTTGGAGTCCAGACCCCCAGCGCCCTCCCACAAATGCAGCAGTCCAAATCCCTATTCCCTCGGACTCAGGAGTTCGGGCCCCCAGTCCCCTCCCTCAGATCCAGGCGTCCAGGCCCGTAGCCCCTCCTCCCTTAGACCCAAGAGTTCTAAAGTTCAAGGCCCCTCCTCCTCAGGTACTGAGAAATACGGACTCCTAGGAGATTCAGGCTGGGGGGTCCGGACTCCTGAAACCCCACGGGGATAACCTGCTGCTATTCTGGGACACTTCCCTCCTGCCTCAGTTTCCTCCGCCAAGCCCCGCCCCCGCCGGCCCCGCCCACGTCCCTCCCTACCCGGGGGCAGGGCGACCCGGACACCGGAATCCCAGGGGAGGAGACGCCGAGGCTCTTACCTGGGGCGTCCTCCTCTGCTCCTCCGGCTGCCCCTGGCGCGGCGGCGGCTCCTCCTCCTGTTCGCTGGCTGCTCGGACGCCCGCTCGCCCGCCGGCTCCTCGCTGCACACGCTCCCGAGGGCCCGGGTCGGGCGCGGGGGCGGGGCGGCGCCCGACGGCGGAGGAGGGGCCGGGGGATCCCGCCTTCCACACGCGGGCCGAGACCTCGGAAGCCTGGCCTGGCTCGCTCAGCCCTCCGCCCGTCTCAGTCCCAGGAGGCCAGGCGCCAGCCCCCTCCTCTCTCAAACCCAGGAGTCCGGGTTCCAAGCCCTCTCCTCCCTCAGACCAGTAGTCTGGACCCCCAGCCCCTTCTTCCCCCAGTTTCAGCCCCCTCCTCTCTGAAACCCAGGAGTGGGGACCCCTAGCCCCCTCCTCCCTCAGACCCAGGAGTCTGGGCCCGAGATTCCTTTGCATTCTTTTGCCAATTAAGTGTCAATCCCCAGGCAGATTCCCATCCTCTGCTCTCACCCCCACTTTCCCAGGAGCTCCAGGCCAGACATTAACCAGCTGGGCTTGGGCAGTGATAAGGCTAGCCGCCCCGGGAGACAGTGGATGTGGGGGCTCTCCCACATAATCCTCTCTCCTGGAATTTCCTGGGTGGGGACTGTGGAAAGGGTCTTGTCCTGAGCTCAGATAAGAGAAATTCAAGGTATTATAGGATTCAGAGATAGATGTGACTTGGCAACAGAATGACCTTAGAGAAAGAAAGTGAATAGTGACAGATGGGGGAGACCTGGACAGGCACAGAAACTGAGAGGAAAAGGGGACAGAGTCCAAGGGAAAGAGGAGGATATAAAGCCAGAGAGATGGACCCTAAGACAGACGGAAATGGGAGTTGGAGTGGAGTTCCAGACAGTTCTGCTGCAGGGCCCTTCATCTCTCCCCTGGAGCTATTTTCAGGAGGAAAACTGACACCTGCCTGGGGGGGGGGGAGCATCCCGCACCCCTCCCTCAATCTAAATATAGCATGGCAAGGTGGCAAGAAGGGTGTCCCCGGATTAGGGTGTTCCCCTCTCCTCTTACCCATCCCAGCCAAGGCAACCTAAAAAGTGGCTGCAGTTGTTTATTGGGGTGGGGGAGGGGCACTTCCCAGTCATTGAGTGTCCACTCAGGTCACCTCCCTGCCCTCTCCACACTTTCCCCCATCCCTAAGCACCCAGCATGTCCCACCCCCTACCAGAGAGACTGTGTAACTCCTACTCTCTGATAGGGTAGTACAGGTGAGTTAGCAAAGAAAAGTAACTGGGCAACAGTATCTGTCCTCCCTCTCCCCATACTCTGGGTCTCTGTCCCCCTCTGTCTGGGTCTCTGTCTCCCTTTCTGAGTCTCCATTCCCCTCTCTCTGGTCCCTGCCCCCTCTTCTCTGGCTCTCTATCTCTTCCCTCTGGTCTCCGCCTCCCCCCCCATGTCTGTCCCCCTCTGTCTGGGTCTCTGTTCTCCTCTCTTTGGGTCTGTCTCCCCACCCTCTTCTGGATTTCTGAGCCCCACTCTCTGGTTCTCTCTCCCTCCTGTAGGTCTCTGTCCTCACCCTGGGCCTCTGACCTCACTCCCAGGCTGCTGCCCTGCTCTCTCCTACTGCCCCCCCTCCTGGGGGTTTTTCTTTGCCTCTGTCTCTGTCCTTTCTGCAGGTCTTGGGTTCCTTTCTGCCTGTGTCTCCTCTTCCAATCTCTATGCTGGGCTCTGTACCTGCCTCCAAGACTCTGCCTGGTGTCAGCTACCATGCGGGAGCCTGTCTCCGTTTCTGTCTCCAGATGTGCCTTTCTCTCCATTTCAGAAGGAAGTGACAATCTAAATTATTTCCGACCTTTATCAAACTCTTCCCACAATTTGTATTTTCTTCTATTTCTCTGTATTAAAGGTGGTTGGATTAAATCACAGGTTTTCAAACTGAATTTCTTAATTGCACTCTGAGTTGACAAGTGGGGCTCCAGGAGAGGTGTATTCTCCTCAAACCAGTTCCCTTCTGATGTGCCACCCTGGTGCCTCTAAGTAAAATTTCATTTGACCAAAAAAAAGGGGGGGGGTTGTTATAGCTAAAAATAATAACAAGAACAAAAACAACACTCTGTAAAACACTGGATGGGTTTTAATTAACACAAGTAAAATACTTTGAATGATGCCTGGCACATAGGAAACCCTATATATGTTAGTGATTTAACCCTCCCCTCCTCTTCTTCCTCCTTCTTGAAATGCCCTTTTAGTACTGAAAGACCTCTGAAACTGTATGGCTTTGTGACCTTGGGTAACACCCTCCCCTCTGAGCCTCAGTTTCCTTGTTTGTGAGGCTGTTTGGACTCAGGTCCTGTGCGTACCAGAAGGCTGACGGAGCACATGGGGTCAGGCAGCCTGCCATAAGTCCTGGCCCCTGGTGACGGGCCGAGTGACCTTGGGAAGCCACTCTCATGCTCTAAGACTCTGGTTTCTCCCCTGTTTGTCTGACAGCCTTCCCGGGCTGCAGGAAGATGGGGTAGCGTGCCCAATTTGGGGATCTCTTTGTGGTTCCATGGAATAGAGACTCTGTACATCTCTCTCGGGCTCAGGGCACTAACTTTTTCTCTTTTGGCTCTTTCTCTGGGGCACTCTGGTCTTCTTTCAGCTCTGGGTGTCTGTCCCTCTTTCTCTGGGTGCTGGACACCCCCTCTGGGTCTCTATCCTCCACTCTTGGTCTCTGTCCCCCCCTGTCTTTGGGTTCCTGTCCCCCTCCTTCTGGGTCATTGTCTCCTCCTCCCTGAGTCTCTTCCTCTCTTTGGGACTTCGTCCCCTCTTCTCTGGGTTTCTATCTCTTTCTTTCTCTGAGTTTCTATCCCTCCTCAGGTCTCTGTCCCCCTCCTATGGGTTTCTGTCCCCCCATCCATGTCTGGACAGAGTACAAACAATGTCATCCCCTCGCTCTCTTCCCTGTGGTTCTGATCTCCATATCTGGAAGCAAAACTATAGGGGAGGACAGATAGTAAGTGGGTCTGAATGGCAAAACGAGCAGGTGGGTAAATAGAAGGAGTGTCTACATCTTCCTAGTTGACCCAGAGGCCCTCTTTGTGAACAACTGAATCTATGGATACAGAACCCAGCCCCGCCCTTATAGTGAGTGACACTGGGCAAGCCAGTTCAGTTTGTCTCCAAGTCCACAACACCACACTCACTCCCTGATACATGATTCCTTCTCAATGCTGTTATCCTTGGGTCCCGGTGCTACCACTAAATGCAAAACAAACCAACATGGCCCTATGGAGCTCATGCATACAGCTCAACTCAACCCAACATTCCTATGGGATTTACAATGACACAACTCGATGTAACTCAGCTGAGCATGGCCTTACGAAACTTGAATGGCTATACAACTCAATACGACTCAACTCCATGTGGCCCCGAAAAACTTCCAGCCACATAACTCTACACAGTCCAACCCAACAGAACCCTGGGAGACTCATAGGGTCATACATTCCAACTCAACTTAACCTAATGTGACCTAGAAAGCTCACATTCAATCACTTGACTCTTCGCATTTCTACATGACTCACAAGTTCACAGAACCTAAAATAACATAGCTCTAGAAGAATCACAAAGCCACACAATTTCCAACATGTCTCAACTCCACAACACCATGCATGAGCACGCAATTAGTCCCAACAATGCTGTGGGTGGCCACCTAACTTCACCCAACATGGCCGTAGGGGACTCATAAAACCACAGAATCCTGCACAATGTGGTTGGACAAGACTCACCCAGACTGACAACCCAACCCAGCATGGAACTAAGAAACTCACAAAACTATGTGACCAAATCTTTTTCAACACTACCCCAAAAGGCTCCACAAGCCTTGCACAACCCAATACAATAAAAACCAGCACAGTCTCCCCCTCAACTCAGCATAACCCATTGCCATTCATTGCCACCTAAGGAGGTACCCATAGGAGCTACCAAACCACAGCTCAAGACCCAATAAGACTGATTCAGTGTTCCCCAATTCATTACCACTTAACCTAGTTCTTCCTAAACCCAAACCCTTCCCCCTAACCTTCCCATCCATCCCTCCCTCCAAGGAAGTGTGAGGTCCTGCAGGCCTCAACTGTCCCTCACACTTCGGTGACCATGTGTTTCCCAGGGGGGACCCAGAGGGGAGGTGGTAGCTCAGGCACCTCTCCATCCACCAACCCACCATTGACCTTGCCCTCCAGTGGGCCACAGGGCTGCGTGTCCACATGGCTGTACATCCCAGCCTCCTCGCCCTCTGTCTCCCGGTGGTAAAAGTAGCTGAAGTTGGAGACAATGACTGGCACAGGCAGGGAAATGGTCAGCACACCAGCAATGGCGCACAGAGAGCCCACTATCTTGCCACCCACAGTGACGGGTGCCATGTCTCCATAGCCGACTGTGGTCATAGTGACCACTGCCCACCAGAAGGACTCAGGGATGCTGGTGAAATGGGAGTCTGCCCGGTCGACCTCGGCAAAGTAGACTGCGCTGGAGAAGAGGACCACACCGATGAAGAGGAAAAAGATGAGGAGGCCCAGCTCACGCATGGAGGCCCGTAGCGTCTGGCCCAAGATCTGCAGGCCCTTTGAGTGCCGGGACAGCTTGAAGATGCGGAAGACGCGCACCAGTCGGATGACTCGAAGGATGGCCAGTGACATGGCTGGCTGGCCCACCCCCCGCTGCCTGGCCAGCTCAGTGCCCAGCGCCACAAAGTAGGGCAGGATGGCCACAAAATCAATGAGGTTCATCACATTCTTGAAGAAGGCCGCCTTGCTCGGACAGGCCAACAGGCGCACCAGCAGCTCGAAGGAGAACCAACAGATGCACAGCGTCTCCACCACAAAGAACGGGTCATCAAAGGGGGTGCGAGGTGGGGGTCCAGGCACAGGGCTGGAGCTATTCAGCCGAGTAGGAAACTGCAGGAAGGAAGGGGTTCAGAGAGGACCATACCAGGTCTGGGACACACTGGAACAGCCATATTTGTTGTTTAAATATCCAACTACTTATCTACAAATTGCTCAATAGCTGCTGCCCCCAGGCGGCCACTGATCCAGCTATTATAGACTCTTTCCAAGGACCACAAGGGTTGTCCCTGGATGTCTGACTTTATGGTCTCTCATCCTTTACTGGTGGGGCCTCATAAAATGATGCTTGAGTGGGGCTCAACCTCTTCCCTCCCAAAGCCTGCCTCCAAGCATTGATTTTTCTAGGTAGGTAGGGTCCCCACCCTGGCCCCACTCCCTTGTGCAGTGCCGTCCCAAACCCAGCCCAGACTATAATGGTTAAAGACCTTTCTGTCTTCCAAACCTGGGGGCCCTTCCCTCCCTGCCACAGCCCAACTTTCTCTGTGATGTATTTTTCTTACCCTAGCCCTTGGGACCCATCCCTCTGTCTCCAGCTCTCTCAGCTGCTTTCTTCAGGACCCATTCTCACTACCTCCAGTCCATCCTTCCCATTGGTTACTGTCAGGTGCACAGACCCCTGATTTTTCAGGTTCTCCTCCACCCACCAGCTTTGATTTCTTAATGTACCTGTCCTCCTGTCCTCCTGCCCTCCTAAGCCAGGTTTCTCACCTACCTTAACCCTGCCTTCTGATAGGGCAGGTCCACCTATTCAGATCCTCAGGCCCTGTCTCCATTAACTATACCTACCCAAGCCCCAGCTTTTAATGGTGGAATGTCCTAGTCAGGCCCTGTCCTTGGGTTGCTCATTCCTCAAAGCCCCTTTCTCCACCTGTGATTAGCCAGGTCCTCCCACCAGACCACCATGCCCCGCCCACTCACAGCCAGACTCCACCTTCCTGAGAGGCTCACCTCCTCCTGCCCCTTAACCCGCGTTTTGATTGGCCGAGTTCCTGTGGACCCCGCCTGCCTCCTCTTAAACCCCGCCTCTCTCCACGGAGGCCCCGCCTACTCACCGGTCCAGTGGCAGCCACCGCAGCGAGTCCCGGGTTGTCGCGGTCGTCACGGAAATCGGGTAGCGTCTCGAGGCAGAAGACGATGATGGACACGAGGATGACGAGCACAGACACGACAGCAAGCACGCGCGCGGCCTGCGAGCTCTCGGGGAACTCGAAGAGAAGCCAGAGCTGGCGTGCGAAGGCGCGGCGGGGCAGGGGGCGCTCGGGCGGCACGGGGCAGCCTTCGTCCTCGCGCAGACGCGCCAATGCCGCCGCGCCCAGCCCGTAGAAGGCCACCTCCTCTAGGAAGACGTCGAGCGGCACGTGCGCCGGCCGCCGCAGCCGCCCGCCCGATTGGTAGTAGTAGAGCACAGCGTCGAAGCTGGGTCGGTGCCGGTCGAAGAAGTATTCGCCGCGCGCGCCGTCGTAGAAGCGGCCGCGGCGCACCGGGTCCCCGAGCAGCGTGTCCGGGAAGCGGCCCAATGTGCGCGCCCGCGTCTCGAAGCGCAGCCCGGCCACGTTGAGCACCAGCCGCTCGCAGCAGCCGCACGGCGGCGGGCACCGCGGCTCCATGGCGCTCGCAGCCCCGGCGACCCGCGGACAAACGTGTGGCCCCGACGCCCGACCCGGCTCGGCCCCGCCTCGGCCGTCGCCGCCGCCGCCCCAGCCTGGTGTCCGATGTCCACGCGTAAAAATAGCCCGGCCCTCGGGCCAGGGCGCGGGGGAGGGGGCGCCGTGACCCCTATGGGGCAGAGGGTGGCTGCGCGCCCTCTGCCGGGGCGCCCTCCCTTTCCCCCCAGCGGCTACCTCGCTGCGTTTTTTCCGCGTCCATCGCGCTTTCAGGTCTCCTTACCCTCCGTGTATCACCCGGGATCTCTGTCCTGCGTCTCTCCGGGTTTCCGTGTCTCTCTCTCGCATATGAGTCTCTCGTCTCTTTCTTTATGAGTGTCTGAACCCCTCTGTTGAAGTCACAAATTTCCATCTTTTGCTTTCTCTCGTTCTCTGCGTCTCAGATCTCTGCGTCTAGCTATGCCTTCGATTTGAGTGTGTGTCAGGGATGTATCTTTGAGTGTCTCTATGGGTCAGTTTTGCCGTTTTGGGGGACCTTGTGTCTTTGTCTTTCTGGATCTCCGTCTGTTTTCTTGTTTCTCAGAGGTCCGTCTCTGTTTATCTCTTATTTCCCTTTGTCTCTGTCTCTCCCTCCTGCCTGGGTCTCTGCTTATCTCTCTGGGTTTCTAATCTCATTATCTCTTAGCTCTTTGTATTTCTGTCCCTGGTTTCTCTGGGGCGCCCCTTTGGGTCTCTTTTTTACCCTGTATCTGTGAATTACTGCGTGTCTCTGTCTCAGGGTCTCCAGAGTCGTATCTGAATCTCTCTCTGATGGTCACTCTTAGGTCAGCTCTGCCGCTGTCCTGCTGGTTCTTGCCCGGTCCTGGGACGCTCCAGCAGCTGTAAACCATGAGCATGTGCTCCCCTCACCCGGTCCCCTCGCCAGGTTCTCCCCTGGGGTGTCCACCTGGATTCTCTGCCAGATATTCTGAGACCCAGCAAGACCTGAGCTGTAGCCCGGTATAGGGCCAAAGGAGGCCTGGCCTGCCAGGAACGGGTGGGGATGGGCTGGGCAGATGCCGCAGGGTCACTCGAAAGGACCGAAGGACAGACAGACGATGGCCTTCCAGCCACCGGTGTCCTATAACATCGCGTAAAAATAGCCCCATCGGATGCTCTTGCAGGAGAAGTGATGGAAATTGTCACCTGGACTCCAGGGAATGCGATCCCGGGCGCCCTCTGCTGGACGAATGGAGAGAGACACTGAAGGCTATAACTGCGAATTTCCACTCTTTCTCTTCCTGTCTACAATTTCTTTCTGGGATGCTGTGTCACCTTCCCTCTGGATTTCTGTGTCCCGCTTTCTGGGCCTCTATCCTCCACCCCTCTGTGTCTATGTCGCTCTCTTCTGTGGTCTTTGACTCTCCCTGTCTCTGGGTCTCTGTCCCCCCATCTCGATGATCTTTTCTCTCTGGTTTCTTTTCTTCTCTGCTTCCTCTTTTCTCTCATTCTCAGAGACCACAAAGAGACCCCTCTATGTGGATCTCTGAGCTTTCTGTGTGAACTGATTCCCCTCCTCCTCCCTGCATCCCTGTCTCTTACACCTCCCATCACCAAGCTTGGACAGGGGTGCTCCTCCTGTCACTTCTAGACAATTCTCCCTCCTTCAGCTCCGTTGAAGCTCATGCTATCTGTGAACACTTCTTCCCATCCTTCCCTAATGAACTCATCGCTTTCCCTTCTAGTCACTCCTGCTCTGTCATGGAAGCTTTCAGATCCTGGCTCCCTATCCATCACTCTAAAGCTATTGTCATAATTCTTAGTAATTTCAATATCCCCTGATGATCCTGCTAAGACCTGGCCTGTACTGGATTGTTTTTTCCCCAAAGGAACACATTCTTGTCCTACAAGGTAGTACCAAACCTTGCCACACCCCATCTCATGGAGTCCATATCCCCAGCTTTTGGTGACTCACTCAACCAACAGAACACCTTGGAAAGGAACACCATGTGACTTCCAAGGTTGGGACATAAAAGGCAACTTCTGCCCCACTCTTTTCCTTGGAACACTTGTCCAGGCCAGATGGAGACGCCCATGTGGAGAGAATCTGAGGCTACTGGCCCTCAGCCCTAGCTAAACTCACAGCTCACCAGCACCAACCTATAGCTAGGGGGAGCACCTTGGAAACACCCCTGCCCCAGCTAGGCTATCTCCACCGATGCTTCTGCAGCAGATAAGCCCCCCCACCACACCCAAGCCCTGCCCAGATTGCAGACTTGTGAGTGAAACAAAATACCTTTCTTGTTTTCAGCCATGTAGTCTTTGGTGGTTTGTTACAAACACCACAGAAAGACAAAACCAAGAACATGGCCTCTCAGTTCTCCAAGCTCATTTTCATTGATCTTGGCCTTTGCCCTGCCCCAGCCACCCACTTTTTTTAAAAAAGATTTTATTGGGGAATTGGGGGGAGGGTAACAGCGTTGGGGAATCGGGGAAGGGGAACAGACAGGTAGACAAATTGCTGTTTTGTTCTTCAGTCTAGTTGTGGAGGTTGTCACTTCACTGGCCCATGTTGGTATGATCATTGTGCTCTTCCTGGGTGANCTCGCCCGGGAGGAGTGCAATGATGGTGCCAACTTGGGCCAGTGAAGCAGCGTCCTCTACAACTAGACTGAAGAACAAAAACGACTGCAACTTGTCTGTTCCCCTTCCCCAATTCCCCAATAAAAATCTTAAAAAAAAAAAAAATTGAGCTCTGAGCAACAGCGGTTTAAAAAAAAAATACCATTGCTTTAATTATGCATAACAATATAAAATGCATGTAAATAATTAGCTTGTTATTATAGTTGAATATGAAACTTCATAGGCAGGATAAAGGGTATTAAGTCAACTGATTTTTTTTGATATTCATATTATTTTATGTTAACTTCAGGTTTATAGCATAATGGTTAGACATTTATATAGTATTTTAAGATGTGATCTCCCTGACTAGTCTAGTACCCACCTGGTACTATACATAGTTATTACCATATTATTGACTATATTCCCTATGCTTTACTTCCCTGTGACTATTTTGTAACTACCAATTTGCATTTCTTAATCCCTTCACCTTTTTCACTGTGACCCCAACCCCCTCCCACCTATCACCTTGATAAATCTAGTACCCATCTGATACCGTACATAGTTATTATAATATTATTGACTCTATTCCTTATGCTATATCCTACATCCCCATGACTACTGTGTAACAACCAATTTGTACTTCTTAATCCCTTCCCCTTTTCACCCACCTCCAATCCCCCTCCCATCTGGCAACCATCAAAATGTTCTCTGTATCTATGAGTTTGTTTCTGTTTTGTTTGTTTATTTTGTTCTTTAGATTTCACACATAAGTGAAATCATAGGACATTTGTCTTTCTCTGTCTGATTTACTACATTCAGCACAATACCCTCTAGGTCCATCCATGTTGTTGCAGATGGCAAGATTTCATTCTTTTTTATGGCTGAGTAATATTCCATTGTTTATATGTACCACTTCCTCTTTATCCATTCATCCATTTGGGGACACCCAGGTTGCCTTCATATCTTGACTATTGTAAATAATGCTGATACATGTGTCCCCTTGAAGTACTGTTTTGGGTTTCTTTGGTTAAATATCCAGAAGTTGGATTACTAGGTCCTTCTTTGTCTCTTGTAATAGCCTTTGTTTTAAAGCTTATTTTGTCTGTGGAGATGTGAAATACAGTATAGAGAATATAGTTAATAATGTTGTAATGACTAAGTATGGTGTTAGATGGGTACTAGATTTATTGGGGGATCACTTCATAAGTTATGTAAATGCCTAACCACTGCACTGAGCACCTGAAACTAATATAAAGTAATGTTGAATGGCAACTATAATTTAAAAATATATATATAGTCACAGGGTGTAAAGTACAGTATAGAGAATATAGTCAGTGGTATTGGAATAGCTGTGTACTGTGTCAGATGAGTAGTAGCCTTGTTGGGGTTATCACTTTGTGAGGGGAGTAAATGTCTAATCATTATGTTATTTTGTACACCTGAGAGTAATAAAAAAAAAGAATGGGACTCACATATAAAATGATATAACAAGTGAAAAAAGAAAATGAAACACATTCTGAAAAAAAAAAGTGTATTTTGTCTGGTATAAGTATTGCTACTCCAGCTTCCCTCCCTGCCATCTCCATTTTCATGAAATACCATTTTCTGTCCCTTTGCTTTCAGTCTGTGTGTATCTTTCCATCTGAAGTAAGTCTTTTGTAGGCAGCATATGTATAGGTCTTATTTTCTTATCCATTTAGCCACCCTATGTCTTTTGATTGAAACATTTAATCCACTTACATTTAAAGCAATTATTGATAGATATGTGGTTATTGCCATTTTATTATTCATGTTATTGATTTTTTTCTTTTTCTTTTTTTGTCTTAAAGAGGTTCCTCTAAGATTCTTTGTAATACTGGTTTGGTGGTGATGAACTACTTTAGCTTTTTCTTATCTAGGAAGCTCTTTATTATTTATTTATTTATTCTAAATGATAATTTTGCTGGGTAGAGTAATCTTGGTTGTAGGTCCTTACTTTTTCATCATTTTGAATATTTTGAGCCAATCCCTTCTGATCTGCCAAGTTTCTGTTGAGAAATCAGCTGACAGTCTTATGGGAGCTCCCTTGTAGGTAACTAACTGCTTTTTTTTTTTTAAGATTTTATTGGGGAGTTGGGGGGAGGGTAACAACGTTGGGGAATTGGGGAAGGGGAACAGACAGGTAGACAAATTGCTGTTTTGTTCTTCAGTCTAGCTGTGGAGGTCGTCGCTTCACTGGCCCATGTTGGTATGATCATTGTGCTCTTCCTGTGTGAGGCAATTGGTCACCGGTCGTTCGTCGGCCACTCACAGTGGCTCCCGGTAGCTCACACCAGCTACCAGCCGCTCACGCTGACTGCCAGCCACTCACATAGCTCATGGCAGCCCACTGCAGCCCTGCTGCAGCCTACGCCGTCGCCGGCGACCCACAGCAGCCCAGCTCCTGGTCGAGCTGTTGTTCATCATCTTAGCTGTAGAGGGCAAGCATCACTGGCCCTTAATGTGGGATCCAAACCGCGGCCCTGCTGCTCAGAGCTGGAGCTCCCAA